GCTTCCGGTTTTCGTTATCGCCAAAATCGTTCCCGGTGTTTTTGGACGATCAGACCAAAAATATCGTCCTGGACGGTTCCCAGAACTATGTTCAGGCCGATATTTTCTACAGTGCCGATCGGCCTGGACGATCTCAAATCGTCCTGGACGATCCTGAGAGGAAAATCCAAATCAGAGAGGAACAGTAAGAGAACGATGTCTCACACTTCGTTTGAGACGACTTTCTTACTGCTTCTTGAAGCAGCTTTCTAGTAAAAAAAATTTAATTTTTTATTAAAAAGCTAATTCAAGAAGCAGTAAGAAAGCCGTACCACATGAAGCCTTAGTAAATTGCGGCCAACAACTTCCCATTAGTCTTTAAAGAATCTACCATTGAATATATCAAGCCCCAAATATTTGTCATCTATAGCAAAAAAGACTTCTTATTTCAGAGTCAGCAACGAGAGCAACAAGATTTTCTTTTGCTGGGGAGAAAGATCTGGAAAAAGTGCTACTAGCTCAGTGATATTTGTGTCAATGTAATTATAATCCCTATCATATATTTAAAATTGGATGAACATATATACAAAATATTTAACATGATAAAAATTTCTATATAAAGGCCAAAGCCAATGGATGAAAGCTCTGATAGAGAAGCACTTTCTAATCAATTTTCTCAGCTTCCAACCTGCGGTGGATCTCTCATACTTCCATTTCTTCAGAATAAAGAGGACAAATCACCTTGGAGCCATCTCAGTGAAAGTATCTAGAGTAGTAGAGGATAATTCAGGAATGGAACTTGCACTTGTGGATACAAAAGTTCTAGAACCTTCTAATCCTTTACTGAGTGTGGTTGGATCCTGAATGATACCTGGAGGAAGTAGTTCCTTCTCATTGAGTTTTATAGGCTTTGATAGCATATGCAGGACTTCAGGCATTGAAGGCCTCCTTCCAGCTACAGCTTGAGTGCAGAACAATGCAACTTTAATGTATCTGAGAACCTCCTCTTCTGGGTAATCTTCAAGGCTTGGATCAACTAATTCTGTAAGCTTTCCTTCTTCATACAGCTCCCATGTCTGCAGCGTTGCTATAGTTTATAGTATAAACATTTCCATTATGGTCAAATACTCTTTATTTGTGGTTAGAATGAGAAAAAAAACAAGCTATTCCCTCGTGAAAAGGATTCTAGATAAAACCAACTGAAGTACTCATTATTACTAAGCATGATTATGGATTCTTGTTTTAGAAGTTAGATTGGATAGAATAGATAGGACATTACCCTGAGATTTTACTCTCTTTCAAGGTCTTCATGATCCAGTTTGAGTTTTCTAAAGACACAAGTAAGTCTGTGAAAAATGATTATGTGCAACATAAATTATTTTTACACCCTTATATGTATTTTCATTTTTTTTTAATAAATTTAACTATTGCCCTCCTATGAGAACTAAGGCTGGTTCCGCCCCTGCTTATGTTTAATAATTACACTAAAGCTAGTACAAACAGTGGTGGCAATACAAACTATTTTCACATCGGTTCCTTACCCCTCTAACCTCTGTTTAAAATTGCGCAATAAGAGGCACGCCTCTGCGCAATTTGACCAAAAAGCGCCTCGAGGCTTGCGCAATTCCTCACCTGGCAGAGGCGTACGCCTCACTTGATCTGAGGCGAGCCTCAGAGGCGCAATTGCGCAATTCTGGGTGAGGCGTACGCCTCACAGAAACAGCCCCACCTACTTAAAATGAATCCTCTTCTTCCCTTCATCCCGCACGGCTTCCCTGTTTTCCGAAAATTTCCTTCTCTGTTCGCGAAACAGACAGCATCCTACACCGTCGGCTTCCCTTCCCGCTGCCTCTCCCGTCGGCGCCGCCTCTCTCCGGCGAAGTTGAAGTGTCCGGCCGCCCTCTAGGAGTACTCCACAATCGATTTTAGTTTTTTTTTTAGTTTAGGGTTAGATTTTTCAAGTGAAAGAAAATCTAGGGTTTTTTATTTTTTGATTTTTTTTGTGTGTTTTTGAATTTTTGCTTTAGGAAACATGGTTAGAGGCAAAGAAAAGGCGAATACGTCATTGCGGCGTGACCCTTCTTGGAAATATAGTGTGCAAGTTGACGTAGGAGGGGGCGAGAAGACGTATGTCTATTTAAAATGCAATTTTTTGTGAGAAAGTGGTGAAGGGCAGAGAAGAATATTCCCTTGAAGACCCATTTAGTGATGGGATATGCTTGCATTTTATATGTTCTTTTTACTTTGGGATTTTTGTTAAACTAATATTTTGTGATTTTGTACTTTGGGACATGATTTTATTGCATCTATTTTCTTACTTTCCACTATTTTTATATATCATTTAGATGTTTTTATTATAAGATAGAATATTGCTATTATTTACCTGCTAAAACTCTTAATTTCTCATTTACGCAATTCTGTGTCCGTGAGGCTTACGCCTCAGACCGCCTCGAGGCTTACGCCTCGTCTCACGGACGAAAACCGCCTCGAGGCTTAATTACGCAATTTTAAACCTTGCCTCTAACCTATGAAACTTAAGTTGAGAATAAAATATTACGACATTGTTTCCATACATAACTATAACACTAATTCTCAGATGATGGTTGATGATGTGGCTCGTTATGATGGTGGCATGCTTGCCCCTACTATTACCATTCTCAATCCTTTAGTCACTGGATCTTCTTCTCATTTACATGCTATTGGTGTGGGTAGTATTGGTAGTGGCCTTATTTCAGCCATTGACAATGTGTAGGTGGATTCTCAAGGCAGTTTATATGATATATTGGTGGCTATGAGTGGATCGATTCATATTCTATAGATCATCCCGATGAACTTTCTTATCACCCTTTGGTCTTATCCAAGCGTAAATCAACTAATGAATTGAATCTACCTGAGTAATTATTAAACAAGGTTGTTAATCATAGGAAGGGTCATGAGAAGAATAAGTAAAATCTAAAGATTGGTAAAAGTACCCACTCCTCCTATAGGCTTCACTTCATAAAAAAGGAATTGGTGATTGGGATCAAGTAATAAACCAAATAAATTCTACTTACAAGTTCGATTAGGATTGAGTGATACATTCTCAAATTTAAGTGAGCTCCTATATTTTAGGAGAAATTATTCTGTGCGGAATCTGAACGTAGAGGATCTTCCGGATTACTGAGTACTCTATGCGTACGCTCTACTTACATTCTGCGTATTTGTAAATACGCAGTAAATAAGCAGAAAATAATTAGTTGTGAGGATTTGCTGCGCATTTACAAATACGTAGAGTGTAAGCAGAGCGTAAGTAAAGCGTACACCGTATGTCCAGTAATCCAGAAGATTCTCTACGTTCGGACTCCGCACAGAATAATTTCTCGTATTTTAGATTCAGTGAATCATCAAACAACTTACATAATTAACTCAATTATTAACAATAGAAGATCTTCCAATCGCTTTCATTTCTATTCAACTTTTAGCCTAAATCATCAAGCAAGCAAAAACTAGTTGTGTGACAAATTTTTATGCCAACATTGGCTTGGCACAAGTTGGACTGGTGAGGTCGGTTTCTCCAACTTCTTGCAACAGTTTCTGGTTCAGCTAAATGATGCTGCACCCAACTGATGTGTCTGGAAGGATACGCGCCCTAATATTACATTTGCCGATATGCAATGCCACCTCCCTTCATTACGGCCAAAGTCCTACACTACCCACATTAGTTGTAATAGACTAAAGAGGCCCTAAACCCTAAACAATACGACACCCTAAAGAAGGTGAAATAATTTTGTACAGAGTCCATACAGGAAGAACCGTCCGGATTGTTACATATTTACTAAGTATTTGCTGAGTATTTGTAAATACCCAGAAAATATTCGATAAATACACAACAATACTCAATAAATATTCAACAAATACTCACAACTGAGCATTTGTTGAGTATTTACAAATACGCAATACATATGAAGCAAATTGGGACAGGGAAAACTGTCCGGACTCCGCACGGAATAATTTCTCCTAAAGAAGAGGTTGCCACACTTGGTTGGGGCTTATTCTCCAACATGAATGGAAGCCCAACTGTCTCCTACTCAAAGTCTCACTAAGAACTGAAGAAGACGTCACCTCTTCCACCTAAGCAAAACTAGCTTGATCGTATAGTCAACTTGAAACACCCTAGCATGATTTCGCACAATAGTCCAAAATCAGCCTGGCTCAACCAAAGACAACCAATTAACTGCCTCAAAATCCATTTATACCATCAATTCTAACCATGAATCCTAACGCACTTTGTGATAGATCCATGTTCCCTTCCATCAAAGGGCACAACAATTTTTTTCCCTTCACAAACCTCTCAAAGCTAACATGGCATGGCTAGTCTACATCGAATCACATATTTCTTCAAAAAATTTGGAATTCCCTGAGATGGCAATGAGTAGAGCCATCATGGCGACACGAAATGATATTAGCCGGATTAGAATCTCCACCAAATTACTTGAATTCAAGAAGTAACCCGAGTTTTGCATATAAATTGAATTAAGGTGTTCCTACATCATTTCATCCTATTGAAACAACAAAGAGAGAGATCTGAATAGAGCTCCTGAAACTTTAAACTATAGTTTCCAGCATCAAAGCAAATTTGATGGTCATAGTGAACCCTAATGGCCATCACTGCATCACAACTGGGATGGTTCTGACTTTCGTTGGCAGCTAATGATAGTTTGAAGAATAGTCTATTCATTTGAACCACTAAACTGGCACATAAATGGTGTTTCCAACACACACACACATAAATATAAACGTAAGACAATGCTAATTTAATAAAAAGTATTGATTTGATATTAAGATTTTAGAGGAATTTTGATATTAAATTTATAATCAATGGTGCTATTTAAAATGTTAATAAAACAATGCAAATTCATCAACAATAAAGTGGCTCATTGGTTGTTAGTACTTTAGTTTACTAGCGTGGCTAGCACTGATTATGCTCAATAGCCTTCAGCATAATAATGCTTCTCCATAAACCCTGTCTAATTTTTGACCTACGCACAGATAGGTTGCTCCAGTTTTCATTGACTATGGTGCATACCAACATTAAAATCAAAATTTTCTTAATGGAAGAGCAAATATGCAACAAATCCGGATGGGGAGAACCGTCCAGACTCCGCACAGAATAATTTCTCCAACCAGAAGCCAGCACACACTAACCCACATCCTACCAACTCCCGCCACTGAAAAAAAGAAGTAAAGAGCTGCCTAAATAGGAAGTTATAAGTAGCCAAATAAGAAATAGCTTACCCTTTCCAGGAGAACTTTACCATCCTCAGACAAATAAGACTTCGAACAACTCTTCCCACTAATTATCTCTAGTACAAGAACACCAAAACTATATATGTCTGCCTTTCTTGTCAATTGTCCTTGCATTGCATATTCAGGTGCCAAATAACCCCTGCAGATGATAATGAAAGTAAGTGTTCATTAAGAATGGAAACACAATTTTACCTGGCTTCAAAACAAATCTTGAAATATTTTGATCCGAAAGTAAATAAATTCATAAATTTTGTTGCAGTAAATTAGTAAATGTCATCAAGTTCAGACAATTAGAACCATTCTGAGAAAATATAAAACACAAGAATCCACTTTTTAAATCAATGAAACATGAGCAATATGCGTCAAAAAGACATACATTCCTTGACAGTGCATAGAGAGAAGACTATTTCCAATCTCCTCTTTCCAAATTCAAGCTTGTGATCCCAAAGTTACAATGGGACAACCTAAACATTATGTTATTTCTAGCTCTCCCAGCTTGGATAATTCGATCACCAAAATATAATCCATTTGACAACAGACATTTTCAACAATAATGTAAATCTCTTGTTCAAATTTGTTATACTTAGTAACTATTGTTGATCCTCAGCTCCATCCATACATAAACTTTGTTGACCTTCACAACACTCATATGATCAATTTGACAAAACAAGGCGAAAATGAAGATCAATGGGCATTGCATAATGCAAGTCCAGTTCAATTGCCTCAACCACAATCACAGTTGTCTAATGGTCACCCATTTCGTAAAACAAACTATGCCAACCTGTCTTAGTTTATCTTCAGTTGCTTACTTTGATATGTTTTGTTTATGTTACTTAAAAATTGATTTTTTTGTGAGTACAAAATAAATTTTTATATCCCTTCACCATATCTTGTGTTGTCGAGGTATATCATCTTCTAGACTTGAGTTGCAAAAATTATATGCACTCATATTAGTGTCATGTTATTTTGTTTCCAAACAATTAGATTATCTTAGCAATATAGACAATAATTTTAATATAATTTGATCATAATTTTAACAAGCAGTTGTCTAATTTACTCGACAACACAACAAAATATAGTGTATACAACACATCACAGCACAACAAAAAATAATAATGTCTTATTGTTTCCACGTATGATAAAAAGTTTAGTGATAATTTAAGGCAAGTAAATATGCATAATATGACCTTTAAGACATTTAAACAATATACAATTTGGTAGATAATGTAAAGTAATAATTCTTACGTTGTTCCAGCCACCCGCGTGCTGATGTGGGTGACATTGTCTGGAAACAGTTTGGCCAAACCAAAGTCACCAATTTTTGGAAGAAAGTTTTCAGTAAGAAGAATGTTGCTAGCTTTGATATCTCTATGGATAATATGTGGCTCGATGTCCTCATGGAGATATGCAAGCCCCTTGGCGGTTCCAATACAAATTTCAGATCTGATGCCCCAGTGCAATCTTGCTCTTTCACTATTCGTACCTAGAAGATACAAAGAATAAATGAAATACAGTTTGAAAAATATGTAAAAAAATTATACCAGCATAAAAATGTCATATTCAACATTTAAAATTCCATTGCTATTTTATTTACCTATCAGTGCTTGATCAAGACTACTATTTTCCACATATTCGTACACCAAAATACGATTAACTCCTTGAACACAACAACCAAGTAAAAGGACAAGATTTGGATGCTTCACATTTGTAATCGCATCGATCTCATTTAAAAATTCTTTAATGCCTTGCTTTGATTCTGCTGATAGTACTTTCGCAGCAATTGGTGTACCATCCTTAAGGATCCCCTGATATATGCCAAAATAATAATAAATATATAACAACAACAACAATAATAAGCCTTTATCCCACTACGTGGGATTCAGCTACATGAATCATTTTTCTCCATTGTGTCCTATTAAGAGTCAAATCCTCAAAAATATAACAATAATAATTCAATAAGCTTTGAAAGCAATAATAACAAATATAACCTAAATAATAATAAATATAACAATAATAATTCAATAATGCTTTGAAAGCAAAAGTATGATATCAAGTAATAACTTATGAAATAAGTCATGAAACATGAATGATTAGAGCAATGAAAAGTCATGTGTTGATTTTATAGTACACAGAATTTCCTCCAGAAAGCAATAAGCTTTAGTTCTTAGCATAAGAAGACAACCCTACTTCATGAAATGGAGCAGTGGCACACAAAGAAAGTAAAAAAAGATAGAAAAGAAACATCAAATCCTATTGTTTTGGTTTCAACCAACTGCGCATTAAAGCTATCATTCAAAATTTCACATTAAAAAAAAAAAGAAACACAGCATTATTGTGCAAAAAGGCCTTATTTTTTTCTCCAAGGAATTGTACAAACAATGTTAAAGAAATTTTCTTTTTTGCAAAAAAAGGAAAAAAGCATTTGTTGCTGATTTAAAATAGCAGGAATACATCCCAAAGTTATGCTGAGTTAAAATTTAGAATAGGCCCTTTTCCTGATAGAGCATTCAGGGCTCAATTCCATGAAATGTAATCCTTAACTTGAAATATAAAATTAGAAATCTTTTAATCAAAGAAAATGTTAAAGAAAAAACCAAAAAAGGTACAAGTAAATCAAGACAGATAAAATGAGACACAATATTAACCTTGTAAACAGTTCCAAACCCACCGCGGCCTATCTTATTTCTTTGATGGAAATTATCAGTTGCTGACCTCAGTGCATTGTAAGAGAAAAGCTTTATATCCTTTTCAGATGAAAGTCCTGGTAAGAGAGAACCAAGATAAAAGTGAGTGAGTTGTGGAAAATCAATGAGTAATATGATAAACAAAATCTCCATATCAGAAGTATCAAATAGAATGGCTAAAAGGCTAAGTTAACAGTGAGAGATAGGGAAGATCCAACAAGAATACAAGCATACATGACATGTTTCTCATAGAGTAACCTAATAAGGATAAGAAATGCTGCCAACTGACGAGAGTGAAGACATGCAGAGGCTGCATAATTCTCATGATAAAGAAAATCAATAAGTGAATCAGACACAAAAAGAACTGTTTTATCAAAATTTTCAACACTTCTAAATGTGCAAAAAGTTATAACTTTCACTTAGGCCCTTATTTTTAATGCATAAATCTTTTTATTGAAAAAGCAAATCCAAGTTTCCAACTTTGTGGCAAACTACACATAATATGATAAAAAAGGCCCAGCATCGAATGGTTATACTATCACATTTGTCAATCATGGGAGGAATTTATCAGCTATTGCCACAACATTATTTTAGAAAAAAAATTGGGTTTAGATATCCTAATCAAAATTTTGGTTAGGATAGAACTCCAAATCTTTGGATATGCTTTTAGATGAGTATAATACATAGGTACTTAATATTGAACTTATCTCGAAGTAGATCTAAGAATTTGAGACCCATCTGTTAGTCAAATGGAAGCAAGAATATTACTTTAGCCCTGCTAATTCATTTGGAGATGAACCCCCAAAACATTGCTAATCAATCTAAGTAATTTATATCCCATGAAATGATAAAATCACACAAGGTTATATGTTATGCCAGAGATCCTCAATTGTTTGTTTTTCATATATATTTTCTCCCATCAAGAATATATATATATATATATATATAGAATATATATATATATATATATATATATAGATGCAAACACCTTTTGAATGGATAATCACATACTTTCCACTAATGATATATAGTAACAAACCAAATATATAGTTATTATAATTTAATGAGCTGCTTAATTATTAAATAAATTAATTTAACTATTTTAATTGAGAAATTGATCAAAATGGTCCCTTGATTTTTGTATGAAGGATCAAAATGATCCCCAACTATACTAAAGGACTATTTTGATCCCTAAAGTTTTTAAAAAATGAATCAAAATAGTCTCATGGTGAGACTGTTTTGGTTCCTCTTTAAGGAATTGAGAGACTAAAATTGTCATTTAATATAATTGTAGACTATTTTGATCTTTCATAAAAAGTCAAAGGACCATTTTAGTCATTTTCTCTATTTTAATTTTAACGATAATAAAAAATCATTTTAATTAAGACATCACTTATTTTTTTATTAAACAATATAAGCTGCTCTTGACATTTTCCCACTCATTTCTAACATCTTCTATGTCAGGGTCACATGTGGTACATATCACTACGAATGAATTACCAATTCTTCATTCAAAATCTTTATTTATTAATCAGGTCGCTATATTTTTATTCTCTAAACTTTATGTATGCAACCAAAGAGAGAAGATAAGTTAGATATTGGAGTTTCAAATTAGAAATATTATAATAAAATGAAAAGGACATCTCAATTACACGTTCATATAAAAGAATCAAGTCTCATGCGCTTCACATTCTTTATACAACTTTGGTGGCAATGCTTTAGTCAAGAGATCTGCATTCATCAACATAATGTTGATATACTCAATTGTCACTTTGTTTGCTTTGACATATTCACTAATGACCAAATATTGATATCTCTTACTTTACTTCGATTCCCACTTTTATTGTTCTTAGCCAAATATTACAATTAGATTATCATTAATATAACCTCAGTAAACCTAATAACAAACAACTTAAGCCCCTGAAATAATAATCTCATAACATGCAAAATTAGCCTGCAACGTTTGCTTAAAAACATAATATCAAACTTTTCAATCTTACGATAATTCAACAAAGATGGTTTGGAATGCTTTTGACTGAACTCTATTAAGACATATACTCAATTCAATGTTCTTGAAGCTTCATCCCAAAAGAAAATAGAAGAGTCAGAATTTCTATCATACTTCTTACCATAATCTCAATAGTTCGATTTCCCGTCAACTACTCTAAGATCATGCTGGCAAATGAGAAATATTGTACAATGTCTTCTCCTTCTCAGAAAATCTTTGCAAATCGACTAACTGATGTATATCCCATTTATCTGTACAAGTCAAATATTCTCGCATCTCTATTTGATAGCACCTTTTTGATCTGTTTGACAACTTTTATCATGATTGTCGCTACACGCTAAACGTATTCCCCCACTGTTTTAATCTAAGAGACTTGAGACACAATCAACAGCGAACTATTACAAAAAGTTGATCCTCAATCTCAACGAAATTCACAAATGGTGGTGAGACCTATAATGATTATATGCTAAAATTATTACATTAATAAAGAGAAGCATAAATTAGATTTTGGCATATCATATGATGAATTAGGCTCTATAGTGGATGGTTGTTTTTTACTCTTAAGACTCAGACGCAAAATTGAGTATATACGTGAAAAAGGTTGGAGTAGCTCTAATGGCAGATAAGATTAGATAAAGTCGTCTTAGATGATTTAGTCACATAAAACCAAGGTTTTAAAACTGTACCGGACTGGCTGGTTCAACCGGTGACTGGTCCGACTGGCATTCCGGTTCCTTCATTAGAACCGCTTAATACAAAAATTGGAGAAAAACTAATTTTTTCCCTGTTGAACCGAATAACCGTTGAACCAGCAGGTTTTAGAAGAACCTTCAGGTTCTTATTTTGCTTGAATCATAGCCGTCCGATAAAGATCAAACAAGTAAAAATGTAAACGGAATGCACTAAGAGGCGAACCGCACACTAAAATTTCCTCACATAACGTGATTCGTGCCTTCCTTCGTCTCCAGGCTCTCCATCCCGAGCCGTTCGCGATTTCCTTCCTCTCCGGCGGCAGGTTTTCTCCATCGAACAGTCGCAAAAGATAGAAGGTATGCTCTGTGTGCTTCTCTGCTCAATCCCTTCTCAGTTGTCCCTTCTCCGCTCCGTGTGCTACATAGCATCTTGAATTCGAAAGATGATGTGTAGATAGATAGTTCTTGTTTAAATCACTAAACATCTAACTAGATTTTTTCTAAGATTAATATATAAATTATTTTGTATGTTTGAATGAGCATTATTTAAACATCACTTGTACTACATAGCATTTAATTAATATTCATTTTTTTGTTCATTTTATTTTTAATAGTTTTACATGCTAGAGAAAAATAACTTAAGATGATATGCATTCTTCAACGTCCAACGCATAATAAAGAATTGACAATAGGTATGCATTCCTCCCCCAATGCAATATCATTTGGTCATCCTGTGCGGAAACCAGGAGCCGCGGGATGGCCGAACAACCTCGTGTGGGAACCTAGAACCGCAAAGTGTGTCATTTGGTTGTACTGTTGTTGTTACAGTTTCTCTCCATTTAACATGTTAGTTATAATGTTGCCTAAGTTATTTGTGAAATATTTATTTATAATTTATAGACTTAATTGATATCACATTTGTGTTATGTGTTATTTTTTATGTTTTATAGACTTAATTGATGCTCACCTAATACGAAACTATGTTATTATTGAAACAAATTAGTCTTATAGGCTAATGTGGATGTCAATACAATTTTGTTGTGTTGCAGTACTAGTCTATTTTGAGTTGTCACATATGCTTAATGAATGTCAAAATAGTGATGGTCAATCATTTCAAATTTATTGATACAAAATTGTTCTTTAAATTCAAGCAAATGGAATTTAAAGTGAAGGCAATAAGTTTCAATGGAATCCATTAGAGTCATAGGATGTTAAATGGTTGCGGAGGTGAAGCTAATTTTATTCATTTTTAATAATATTATTATTTATTAGGTCATCCGGTTCAACCCTGGTTCCACCGGTCGAACCGTAAACCTCTCATTCTTCTAGTTTTTGTTTGGTCTGATTTTCACAAAATTGCCTAAAACATCAGTCTTTCGATGACATTTTTTTATGAGATTTAAATGAGAATTTGACTCTTAATAGGACACAATGAATAAAAATGATTCATGTAGCCGACCCAACATAACGGGATAAAGGTTTGATGTTGTTATTGTTATTCTAGTGATTGTACAATTTTAACTTATTTTCTTAATTATTTCTCTACTTCTTCTTTGTAGATTTTAAAGGCATCAATTACCTCACTTTTATCAAAAAAGTGGAAACAAGTACAAACATCTTGTGAGGTCATCAATAAAGATAATGAAATATTTCTAACTACTAAGAAACATTCTTGAAAAGAGACAAAATATTAGTAAGCACAATTTCTAATATGTTCGAACTCCTTTCATCTTTCTTGTTCTTGTTGGTTTGTATCCTTTTATGCAATCAACATAGGTATCAAAATCTATAAATCAAAAGCCTCTAAGCTCCATCATTTGCTAATCTTTTTAGCCTTTCAATGGAGATATGTCATAGTCTATTGTGACATAATATGGAGGATTTTATAATATCTATGCTTTGTGCCAATATCATCATGTATAGTCAAAAGGTTATAATCAAAAGTAGAATTCACATGAAGTTTAAACAAGCCATCATTTTAAGCACGATCACTAACAATAACATTATCTTTTAAAAAATTATTAAAAAAAAAGGTTATAACAAAGGTTAAGTTAAAGCCATAAGGTAACAATTTAGAAGCATACACAAGGTTCATTGAAAAAGTTGGAATATAAAAACTCCTTTTAAGATCAAAAACAAAACTAGAACTAAGAACAAGATGATGGATCTCAATAGCTTCCACATATGAGCGAATTCAATTTCTTGAATAGATGAAGCACTCAATAAGTGTCAATTGCCTTTGGTTTATGAAACCCTATAAGATATTCATAACATGAATTGTATAACCAAAATCAATCTACAAAATATCATAGATTTAAAATATGCAAGAGATATGAGATTATTTTCTTTTCAAGCCAAATCTTACATTTGGGGCAAGCTTTCTTCATGTATCCCTTCTTCTTGCAAAAAAAAAATTACTGCACTCTTATTAACCTAATTACGAGATATGTTCCATTCATCCTTTTTGGCATATTTATTCTTCCCATGAGTTGCCAATGAGGACTTTCAATTTTTTCTTGATCCAATCTTCCTTCCTTCACACACATGATCAATAGATCATTGATTAACCTTTTCATCTTATGTGTATTACATGAAATCTTAAGAGATTATCCTAAAGGAAGTGAATTGAGGATGAAGTGAATTAGAAATAACTTAGATATCTCAATGTCCAATGATTTAAATTGTATAGGAATCGACTCTCGAATACTTTTCTAATGTGAGACTTAATAAGCATCATACTTAAGCAACTGAATCGTTCCCAACATTCATATGATTCCTTCTTAGATTGATTAATTGATTTTATGGGTTCTAGAAGATCCTCAAAAAGAAGTGCTAAATAAAGGTCCATGCAAACCAAAGAAAGAAAAATCTTCTCCTTCTGATGTTTATAGTTATCACTACTTGGTATAGGAACATGAGATGAATAATAATTTGTAACAAATGCAGATTGTATAGCAAAGTAATTTCACGTGCTTAATAAATTTATTTTGAAACAAAAAAAAAGGAAAATTACCCATGTAAATTATTCCAAAATGAGAATCATTGCATTATCATAATCTTCATGTGGGCAAAATTATAATATGCAATTGATTTTATCAATACTTTATAATATGACTAGTTATTCTCTTCTAAATAAAATACACTAGGCTTACAGGCTACTGGACACCTTACTATTTTATTTTGAATTATATCGTATTCTAATTTTAGGCTAGAATTTAATGATCTCCATATAGAGTTAAATCAATAATTTTATATCTAATTACACACATTAATTTCATTGAGAAATAATTTATATGACTACTTCTGTTAGCTTTATGTTACTCTATATTATCATAATTAAAAATGTTATAGATATTCTTTAATTACTCATATAAACTTTTAAATATGGAATAAAAAAACTATATTTTTACTACACTTTATTTCAAATTAGAAAACTATACTAATAAGCATCTGATATAAAATTAGTCCTATCAGTGAATAAATATATATTCCACAATTTAATGAATTCATATGAATATGAGAAAAATCAATCTCTACAGTATGATAAATTAAAAGGTTTGTTGATTGAAACTCATCAAAGAAAGATTATTATATATATATATATTATTTTTTTTTCTCCCATCAAGAAGACATACATACATATAAGAAGTTTTTTATTTTTTATTTAATTTTTCCAATGCAAATAAAACAGAACTTATATCAATGCTTCTCTTACCTGCTAAATCTTGTTGACTACTTTTCCTCGCGCCAAAGCAACAGCTTTTGAAATGCATATCAACTCTCCTTAACGCCAATCACCTTCTAGAATTTTTCATAAACAGTGCTCTATCAATTTGATGCAAACACATAATGATTGATTCAAATAAATTAAAATTTTCTTTGAGAAAAGAGTTTAAGGCTTGGTTTGGGACAACTTTCGTACTGCTTTCTAGTACAAAAATTTCAAGTTCAAAAAATTTTTGTGCTAAAAAAGTTGTTTTAGAAAGCAAGAAAAAAACCATCCTAAACGAAGCCTAAGTCTTTATCAAAAGTAGTGAACACTAATTATATGTAAACAATAACTACTTTCACAAGGACAATTTTATGCATCTCTACATTACTTAAATTTCAAGAATTTCATGCATTTAGTAAGTTAAAAGCTATTATTTGGTAGTTCATCATCAAATTAAAAAAAACTTAAAAAATCATAACTTATGGATATTGACAAGATCTACAACATATTTAAAAATGTAATGAAAGCTTTTCAATGCTACAAGAGATCAACAAACAAGCCAAAGCTCTTTCATAAGTTATATAAAACTTTATTGGTTCTTCACTGAGGGACCATTCGATTGCTTCCAGATAGAAAATATGACCTAGAGAAATGATTCAACTTTCAGCCATTTTATATTTGAAAACTAAATCATTACATTTGAGGGGCGTTTGTGGAGTTTAAAATCGCCATTGATTTCTAATTTTATCAACTAAATGAGGGATATAGTAAATTTTACCATTTTTTCAAAAAAGAGTTTTCCAACTTCAAATAACCAAATGAGCTCCAGGGGGCTATTTCGTTGCAGATTTAGATAGGATTTATGCAAAATCTTGCAAATAATGTTTTGAGCACATAAATTCTACAATATTTTTAAGGGAGATTTACATACATACCACTTTATTTGATGCTATTCTTAAATCCCGTTTTAGGCTGATCCTAGTTCTAGTAAATCAAAAGGGAAATGGGATTTAAGAGATTTACACCACTTCTTCTCCTTTATTTATTTAAATATTAAGGCTTAGTTTAGGATGGCTTCCTTACTGCTTCTTAAAACAGCTTTTTGACACAAATTTATTATCAAATTTAAAAATTAAATTCTTCTTTTTACCAATTCAACCTTTTAAAATAAACTTCAATAATAAATTCAGTTCTAGTATTTTAAGCCAACTCGGACCCTCTGAAAAAAAAAAACTTCACAATCTCATCCTTTCCACCAACAACATCCACTGAAAGCTCATTCATGACAGTTCGAATCACCAAGATAAAAAAATAAGCACAAAAAAGCTCCATATTTAATCAAAATAACAGCCCAAATAAGGTTCATTTTTGCTTCCAATTCTATTTTAGCTCAACTATGGAAAAAAATAATCAAATGGTATCTCAAGTAACGCCGAATCTCTTATCCAGTAACCACAAAAAAATAAAATAACCAAATGCACAAACAAACAAAACCAAGAATTAGGGCAAAGTTACTACCAGAAGAACTAAAAAACAAGTAATCAGATCAAAGAAGCCAGACCTCTTCCTGGGAAGAGAGAAAAGAACAACGATCCACCAATCCCTTCTTTGTAGTGAAGCAGCAGTGGCCTAATTGGTTTAGCTTACTCCGAAATTTTTTTTGTTCAAGTCTTGCATTTTTACCTATTTTGTCCAACTTCAAAAAAATATAATTGTCTAAATTTTAATAAATAAATTCATTTTTCTATTTCATAAATAAAATTATGCATTTCATAAATTCTTTTTGCCCGCCCTCAAAAAGGAGGCCGGCTCCGCCCCTGATCGAACTACAAGAGGGAGTATAAACGTAAGAGGTTTCGCGGCGAACAAGCGATGTATGATGATATGATGTAAGATGAGAATAATTAAGGACTAGATTGGCAACAAGATGATGTTCAGGGCATCTCCAACTGAAAGAAATACATTTTTTCACTCTAAAATATAGCAAAATTCCAAAATGCAGTAATTCATCTCCAATTAAATTCCAATTCTTTCTTCTCTTTCGCGTGCTTTTTCATCTCGCTGTGAAGGTAACCATCTTTCTTCTCTTTCGAACGCTTCTTTGACAAATATCGTAACACAAAAAATTGACATATGTGAATAGTGAGACGCCGATATTGGCATCGCTCTATTCACCTACGTAATTTTGACATGCAATTTAGAGTTCGAATGGAGTGAATGACAGACGACATACCATTGTACGCAGTTCGGTTGGAGATGGTCTTAGGCATTCTAATAAGAGTATTATTTCTTATTTTATTTTTATTTTGAATGTTATATACATAAATAGTAACAATTAGATGTAAAATATAAAAAAAATTAATATTTTATGTATTTCATATAATATAGGTATTATTTATGCGCTTTGATTAGTACATCTCAAAATTTCATAATATTTGTTTACAAAATCATTTATGGTTTATTTAAATTATTATAAATTGTTGTATTTTTTCTTACAATATTTATGACAAAGTCAAAAATTTATACATTAATATAATTTTATGCCATGGATATATTTATATGAAGAGTTATTTATTTTATGCGTATAATATCTTATTTAAATATATCAATTAAAAAAAACTTTTTTATAATCTTGGATTAAAAATGAATTAATAATTTATATGATTTGTATTTTTAATATTACGTCATATAAAAAATAGCTTGAAAGCTCTGTCACAAATTTTGGTTAACATATTTTTTATAAAATATAAATAAAATATTAATTTGATTATATTTTTATAGATAAATCAATCAAATTTAACAAAATGTCATCTCTCTTTTTGTAAATTTTATTAAAAAAAATCGTTAAATATTAAATACTTTGCATCAATTTGAAGGAAAGTTGTTTTAGAAGAATAATCTCTCTCCATTTTTTTTTCCACGGTGAGAGAAACGAGAAAAGGATTCTGCCTGCGTTGGAATATAAAAATATAAAAAAAAAGATAAAAAAAACATCAAATAAAATGAAAAAAAATAATTTCAACAAAAAAAATTTGATTGATAATAAATTATATAATATAATTAGAAATATAATGAAATGAAATAGATAAATTATGAATTTCTATAGAATAGAATTAGATTTATTATTTCTTTTTCTTTTTCTCTTTCATCTGTTTTTCATTAGATTAGAAATTAAAATTATAAATTTTTATTAAATTCTTATTTTGAATCTCTTTTATTTTTTCCATTATTGTAAGTAAGAGAGATCCACCGGACAACATAAACAAATGGTCATAACTTTATAATTGAAGGCAAAGAAGGAAGATTTCATGAGACTTTGCTTGATAAACGGATTGATTATTCAAGGAGTTTCCGACATTATCGTGCAATTATGAAATCTTGGTACCCATTCTATGATAAGATTTCAACTTTCGCTTTATTTTTGTTTCTTTTAGTGGGTCTATTTCTTTCATGCAATCTCAATAACTTTTTATACTCTTTTTGTCCCAAGATATAATTTGTCATCATATATGCAATTTTTACATGCTATAACAAATCAAATGCAAGATAACAGGGACAAATTCTGCATTTGTACTTAAAATCTTTTTAAGAAATAATTTTTTTTATCGCAATATAGAAAAATTGAAAGACCTTAACTATTTTGTTGCAATAGAACGAATCACACAACTGCAAAGTAAAATGTCTGAAAAGTACCTGGTACTTGCGACTGATAAAAAATCGAACTACATTGGGAGTAACACTCCTATGGAGTGCGCTTTCTCTACCTACGAAAAAACGTGATTAGATGATCACATCAATATTCTTTATTTTACTTCATATAACTATTCATACTAACGTACGTCGTGCTCAATCCTTCGTCTGTTCGATTGGAAGCTTTTAGCTCAACCACCAGATTCTTAGTCCGAGTATTGGCATATGAGAAGCCCATGCGTTATCTTATTGATTAATGTCCTAACCAAAAAGTCCTTAACGGTTAGAGCTAATACAACGGCCAATTGGCATTAAAATTATTGATATTACACTTAATAAGTTTACTTATCATTAAACATTGTTTAGTTACAAGCGAAAAAATATTAAAGATAAAGTAAGAAAAATAAAAAATTATATATATATATATATATATATATATATACACATCACATCACAAAAAAATTAATCAATTTCAAATAAAATGTGATGCAAAGAATTATTATGATTGACTTAAGGATTATCAAAACTCCGATTTTAATAAATTTATAATCGAAATAAACTTCTTGATCATACTAATTAGATGAAACAAAAATGATCCGATCTAAGCTGAAATTATAAACTTGAAGCACAAATAAACACTTAGGATTCGTTTGAGACAATATTTTTGTTATTATTTTGATTTCAAGCTGCAACCATAATTTTTTTATTATATTGATTTTTCACTTCTTTTGATGAAATTTCAATACCATGAAACTGTCTTTTATAACAATTTTTAAAAAATTATTTTCTCCGCAATAATTTTATAATCACATTTATAAAAAACTTTAGTAATCCAAAGCAGATTCATAATGATATTAATTAGAAGATCAAATAATCTCCAATTTTTATTTGCTTATTAGTATGATCAAGAAGCCTAATGTGCCCCTAAATTTTTACATTTTTTTTTTTTTTGTATTTTTCACCTAAATTATAATGCATCATATTATTAGAAAATTCTGCACGCCCTAAGCGTTCATTGAGCCCAAGTAATAAAATTAGAACATTAATTTCTATGGCTACTTAATATATATTAATGAACCCTAATTTTATTATTTTAAAATAAAATATTAATAGGTCACTCTCAATGGGATCTTTAATCATATACATTTATTAATGTATTCTTTTAGTCTTAATAAATATTGATAGATCATTATAATATTTTAAAAAGATGAAATTTTTAATTGTACTTTGACTAAAAAGAAATTCCATTAATTAATTAAAAAAATGGATTAATTTAAATTTATTTATTAAAATATTGCTTGTAATATTTGTGTATATTAACATATGCTTTACTGATATTTTAGAAGTGGTTGGTTTGAACCTAAATTACTTTTGGACTGACATATTTTGATTTATGAAAATAGGGGATAAGGGAAAATTAATTAAAAATTTTAATTCATCTGATCATGCACGAATCTTGAAGCAACCATTTGAATTACATACTTTGAAAATTCACTTGAGGGCTATTTGAATCTTTCTTTAGTAAATTTATAGTCAATATAAGCATCTCAAAGAGATGAATCTAATGAGTCTAAGATCATTCAATTATGATGTCATTAAAATATTTGAATGCTCGAAAAATATCATATGATTAATAGAGATAAATACAGACGGCTCAACGAAATTTTCTGATTTATGGTTAAAATGCTTATGAATTCTCTCTCTATAAATTCATAAATAGGCTCTAGTTCAACACATTTGAAGAGATTGGGATCAGACCAAATGAAGCAATCTAGAAGAGTGGATCCAAAGATCTGCCTAAAATGACAACATCTACTATTGGCACCAACACCAACAATCGCCGCAATCAATAATGTTAGCGTCTAATGTTATCAGTAAGGCATGCACCCATTGTTGCCAAAAAAGCCAATGAATATCATCGTAACCTTTGTCCATATTAGTCGTCGACAGCAACATTGATGCATGTTGTCAACTCCAACTTTAACATCTATTGTCGACACCACTATGGATGCCTGTTGTTCATATCATCTCCAACGGCTTGACATCATTCCACATGCTTTTCGTCAACAACGATATCAATAACCGTCATCACTATCAATGTCAATGCTTGCCTTCTTGAAAGTTTATCTCTCCTCTTACAATGATTTTAAAAGAATATAAGATTATTATTCAAATAATCACATAATTTATGGTCATAAAAATTGATTGAAAATTTGATTATTATTAGATTTCAATCAAATGGCTTAATAGTTCCTTAAATGGAAAGATAAATTAGTATGAATGAATCTTTTGATGACAACTCCAACATCTCAAAGTTCTTTCTATTTCCACCATAAAAGTCATTTTTTACTGTTCATATCTATTATATTATAAATTTGACTACTATAGATTTTCTATCACTCAACAAAATTATAGGAAAAAAATATTATGAGATCATAATATATTTTTATATTATGAGTATAAATCAAATTATCATAATAAAAGTATATTGATCCTACAAGACAATATCATTTTGCCTTTAAAAAATAGATTTGAGTACCATTTTATAATAAATAATACTTGTTTACAACTTATTATGCAAATATATTTTATTTTTATCAAATAACTTATATTAATACTAATTTTATACTCCTCAAAAAATTATAAGTTCATATATATAACTTTTTAAAAAATTAATAATTATAATATTTTTTCCCAAATTAATTCATCTCAAGAAGAAGGTATAAGTATTTTAAAAAGCATATTTAATAAGCTTTTTTGGGTGTTATATATATATATATATATAAGGAACAGATCATTAAATTCTAATTTCTTATATTATCATTCAACAAAAATAATTAATTTTTACTTATCTCAAATAATTTTTTTATTAAACCATCATAACTTGGGTAGGTGTTATAAATCCTCGTTTTTTTATAATTCTAATTGAGTATTGTTTAAAGTGCTAAATCCATTATTTTGAATAATTTATATTCATGTAATATTAGATTTATTTATTTATTGACATTAAATTTATCAACTCATCTAATAAACTTACTTTTTTATCATTTCTAATAATGCTCAAATTAAAATTTAATTTCTATTACATTATTTTTAATAATGATTAAGATTTAATTAATTTAGCCCTCTTTCATCATGGAGAAAAAAATCCATGGAATTGATTTTATTCTAAAACAAGGAATGCATGATTATTTTAAGATGAATAAAATATAATACTTAAATGATTGCTCATATTCAAATTGTCTTAAAAATAAATTTAAAATCTTTCATTTTCATCAAAAATTGGTTCAATATTCTAAGCTAATTTTAACCCCATGATTGAGAGTTTTGCATCTCATTGCAGGATTAATTATTCTGTGCAGACGCCGAATGTTATCCTGAGACCAATCAGAATACGCCAAGTCACCTCTTTGCTGTGTACCGCGGCTCTGTAATGCTTGGTACCGCTGACTTGACTGCACCTGATTCTCCTCCGGATGTAGAGCTGCGTCCAACCTCCGCACAAAATAATTTCTCCATAACAGAGGCCATCAATTTTAGGCTTATGCAAATACATGTGCATATCAATTTTAAATTAAATATGCTCAGAAATTCAGAGAGAGAGAGAGAGAGAGAGAGGTGATAATCATAGTATGTGGGTTTAATGGGTGAAAAGCCATTTCTCCTAAATAAATAAGTTGTTTAACACTAATAAAAGGTTGCAGAAAGCTATCAATCTGAAGAGTAAAGGCTGCATTTCGTGTTTACACAAACGAGTGAGTTAATGAAATTTAACCAGCCTGCCTATAGCATAAAAAATAATATTAATTTAACAAGACATTACACTATTGCTCTGGAAGTTTGTCCTTCAGATACTTGAGAATAGCTTTCGTTCCTCTATCAAGAACTGGGCGCCTGATGCTGCAAATTAAGAGACATGAACAGGATAAGAGCTCAGAAAGTTGATATCAAAATAATTCGTATCACGGAACTCAACATTGTTTATTTGTTGGGAGCTTTGACTATCAACGTCCCAAAAATAATAATAATAATAACGGGTATCAGGTTGATTTTGATGATGATTATGATGAATGTGCATGCAAACTATTTAAAGATCTGTTTGAGATGGTTGCAGTTATTTGTAAAAAAAATATTGTTGAATTGTAAAGGGAAAATAGATTTTCTGAAAGCTATTGTAGAAATTATAAACTTCATTCTTCTTAAAACACTTAGGCTATAACTTTCTTTTTGTGGATCTAATTATAAAAAACATTTTCCAACAAAACTTTCTTGAAAATAGAAAGAAAATTGTCACAGTTATTTAGAAAGCAATGTATAAAAAAGCTGCCCCAAACAACAGACTCTAACTTAGGCTTCATTTGGGACAGCTTTTTGTTGCTTACTAAAACAACTTTTTAGCAAAAAAATTGCTTGAATTAAAAAATTTTATACTAGAAAATTATTTTAGAAAGCAATACGAAAGCTGTACCAAACGAAGCCTTACTCTAATACAAAAATATCAGCAGGGAAGCAACATGCATGATTTAATAATAAAAAAATAGCAATTGTCAACTATGATAGATAACATAATCGACTGGAGTCTAAGGTTATATGGTCATTTCCCAAAAAAAGTTCAAATGATCCACAGGTTTTTTCTGTCCACTCCAAAGTCTGGATAATGAGATTTATTATGACATAGGTTACGTTTCAAATTCAATATCTTGACAACAATTTTTAATGTTCTTACCAACCATAGGAGATGGCAAATTGGCACCAAAAAATAGCAACTTAAGCACTGTAGCTCTGAAACAACTCATGAAAATTTCTATTGCTAATAAGGTTTCGTTTGGGGCAGTTTTCTTATTGTTTTTTAAAGCAACTTTTTAGTAAAAAATTTAAAATTTTGTACTAAAAGCCGTATTAAGAAGCAATAAGAAAGCCGTCCCAAACAAAGCTTAAATAAAGACAGAAATAAGTAGTTGTGCACTTTTTACCTTCTCAAGGGGTTGCCATCAAGTTTCAAGACCTGGAGATGAGGATCTAGCAAACCCTGCTCAAGAAAGTTTTTTATTCAGAACACGAAAGTTCTCAATCATTTCCCGGTCCAAACAGACACTGTAAGGTGTTTATAAGACTGGTATGGATAAAGATACTAAAAATGAGATAAAATGGTAGAAATTAAGTCATAAATGCTTTATAAAGATACTAAAACACATATCCTTATAGTATGTCAGTTTTAGTTGATAAAGAAAGCAAAAAATCAGACCAATTCAGAAGGAAGTGCAGCGATGTTGTTGTTTGACAGGTTAAGCTCTTGAAGACATGTCAGGTTCCTAACGTCCTGTTCAGAAATTATACAAGAATTTAGTCCGTTGTGTTCCAGAAATATGAAATTCACTTGTAGTGAGAAATGAGCAAAGAAAAAACTCATTACATGGTTACATTATATGACAGTAATTTGTATCCTTGAATCCATATTAAAAACGAAGGATCAAATAAATAAAACTAATAAAGTCAATATGCATTATATGACATGGTTAAATCATCTCCAACCGAACTGCATATCATTGTATGCTGTCCACGAATCGCTACATTCGAACTCCAAATCTCATGCCAAAAATCAGTAAGTGAACAGTGCAACGCCAATATTGACATCGGACTGTGCACATACCGATTTTTTAAAAGCAATTACCTTCGCACTATACTTAACTTCACAGGAAGAACCCGAAACAAAAGAGATGGTTAACTTTGCAAAGAAGCGCATGAAAAAAAATGGAGTTCTATTGAAGATGAAGTATCGCATTTTGAAGTTTTACGGCACTGTAGAGTGGAAAATGGGGTTTTCGGTTGGAGACGCCCTTAGCCCCTTACATTATGTGACAGTAATTTGTATCCTTGAATCCATATAAAAAACAAAGGATCAAAGAGATAAAACTAATAAAGTCAATCTGCACAAGAAACAAAATTTTTATCTTGTTTTTTTTCCGCAATTACTCCAGCAATCATGGAAAAAAAGAGAGCTATATGGATTGTGCACTGCGGATTGAATTCTGTGCCCATAACACAGTCAACTTACTTTTAGAAGTAAGATAAGTTATACCTCCGGTAGCGAGACAAGCAAATTCTGGCTTAAATCAAGAACCCTTAGCTGTTGTAAGCTCAGAATACTCGGGGGAATATGAGATAACTTCATTCTTCTGTAATCATAGAAATCTCATTAACGTTCTTCCCAAAGAACCCAAGTGCAAAACACAAATTTTTTTTACTAATAATCCATCATCCAAATACAAGAGAATGGGCCTCTATATATAGGCCTCAAGAGAAATTAAAAGACACATTCGCCCCTTGGGCTTACATAAGACAAGAGGGTAAAAAGGGAAATTGCAAAATTAAATTAAAATACACTTAATAAACGAAAATAAAACAAAGTGATCTCGGTCGTCAATCTTCAGCTCCTCCTCGGATTAGCATGGACGGTTGGATGTCCGCATCAGTAATAGTTTATGAACACATCTATAAATGTTAAATTAGATGGTAAGACCAGAGCTGAAGAACCACTTTTCACTTTTGCAAATAAACTCTTTCTCTCTCTTGAGTTCTAAGGATTTACTGATAACATCAACTATATGATAAAAACCAGCTGAAATTCAATATTCAAAATTCATATAAATGACCCCATACAAATAGTCCAACAATCATTTTGATTTTTTCTCGATCAGAATCACATAACAAGGAGGGGGCCCATGGCTTTGACAGGTGTGCAATCCGTGGGCTACAACCGTGGGCGACGGCTCGAGATCTCCTCTACTGACACCAAGATCCGTGGGATATAATTATTAGAATCAATTAGATTAAATGACTTTCTCTTCTATTTATTATAATTAATTAGATTAAAAGTATTTCTTTTTCTATTTATTCTCCTAGAGTGTATATATATGTAATAAAAAAAAATGTAATGATTCTAAGTAATGAGATTTGAATTCAATTTCCTTAAACAATTTCTTCATGGTACAGAGTTTAGGAAAATCCTAAACCTTCTCTGAGTGTAGGCGGCAAACCTTCCTCCTTTTCTTCCAACCTATAGCTGACGGTAACTTTCCATCATCCTGTCGATAGTTTCTCTTCAAGCATTGTTAGGCCTTGCCCAAAATTCATCTTCTCTTTCAACCGAGGAAACCCAACCATTTCCATGGATAGCAATATCTCATCCGTCTATATTACCGGTTTAAACACCGGAAACTTTGTATCTACAGACAACTCTTATCGTCTTCCACCTCTCATCATCACAAACCACAGATTTAATGGGCAAAATTTTTTACAATGGTCTCAATTGATAAGGATGTTTATTTGCAGGAGAGGGAAAGAGGACTACATCACTGGTGATGCCTCTATACCACTGCAAACCCATCATCTTTACAGAACATGGAAAAGCAGATAATCATTAGATCATGTCTTGGCTCATCAACTCCATAAATATAGAAATTGGTGAGACTTTCTTCTTCACGAGACAACCCAAGAAATATGGGAGGCCATTTCATGACTGCTGATAAGAGAACCTGACAGTAATTCTATATTTTAATTCTCTAACTCGTTATTGGAAACAATTAGATATGTATAAACAATATCAATGGAAATGCCCAGAAGATCACGCACTTCACCAGAAGATTGTCGAGGAAAAAAAGAATATTCAAATTCTTGATGGGTTTGAACAAGAACATGGATGACATTAGAGGATGGATCATGGGAACCAAAGCTCTTCCAAATCTCCGGGAGGCCTATTCTGAAGTTTGAAGGGAAGAGAGTAGAAGAAAGGTCATGTTGTGGGGCCTACAAGGATCTTCAAAGGTTGAAGAAGAAAATGCTCTTATTGTCCGCAGCAATTAAAACCCCTCACATGTTAAAAATTAACATCAAAAGAAGGGAGGAAGATCATGATGTGATCACTGTGCCAAACCAGGACATACAAAAGAGACACGTTGGAAGATTCATGAAAAACTAGCTGATTGGAAAGCAAACAAATCAATACAAGAAAGCAAGGCGAACTCTGTCTACATCACACAATATCAATCCATCAAAGCTGAAGCCATTACTTTCACCAAGGAGCATTTAGAGATGCTGAAGTTGTTGCTTGACAACATTACGAACAAACAGTCTCCAAAACCTGCTATCAGCCTTTACGCTCACTCAGGTATAAAATAGTCAAAATTTTGGGTTATTGACTCAGGAGCATCATATCACATGACTTACACTCCTTCATGACTATAAACCTTATTATTCAAATCGAGTAGTTAAGACTACTGATGGCTCAAAATCCAAAGTTTTGGGAACTGGTTCCGCTTTTGTCACATAAGCTATCACCCTTAAATTGATACTTTATGTACATAATCTTGAGTGCAATATGATTTTCATTAGTTAATTGACTCATGATAGTAATTACTTAACAATTTTCTCTAATAATGTATGTATCTTTCAGGAACTAGATTCGGAGCAGAAGATTGGCAGTGATAAGATGTGTTCTGGGTTATACTATATCAAGACACCCAAATCCTTAATTGCTACTAAGAATCATCCTATTGTGAGTTAGTTTGTTGAGTCATTCTAGAGTCAGTCAAGATAGAGAGATTATCATGTGGTATTAATCCAAATTTCATGCATCTTGAAAAAATTTTCCCCATTTATTTATTAATAAAAATCAAAGTTTGTTCAAATGTGAAACTTGTCAATCGACTAAATATACCAGATCATCTTACCCAATTGTTTCTTACAAACCTTCTAAACCATTTATGTTGATCCATAGTGATATTTACGGACCCTAAAAGGTTAAAAATATAAGTGGTGCAAGGTGATTTGTGATATTTGTTGATGATTATACTAGACTCACTTGGGTTTATTTAATGATGGAAAAATCTGAAGTTGAAAAGATAATCAAATCATTTCAACTGATGATTCAAAATCAATTTGATACAAAAATTCAAATTTTAAAGTCAAACAATGGGAGAATACTTTCATTTTATCATGAGAGAATACCAATCAAACTAAGGGATAATCCAAGTGAGTTTATATGCGTATATGCCTCAACAAAATGAGGTAGTTGAGAGGAAAAATAGGTAACTCCTGAAAGTTGTCAAATCTATTATGCTATTTACAAAAGTACCAAAATATAGATGGGGGGAAACCATTCTTACTGTTGCATACCAAATAAATAGGTTACCTACTTTGGTACTAAAATTTAAAACACTAAGACAAACTCTACTCAAAGCCTATCCACATGCTTGGTTCATATCATCAAATCTTTCACCTAAAGTTTTTGGATGCTCTGTCTTTGTTCATAATTATTCACAAGATAGAACCAAGCTTGACCCAATATAAACAAAATGCATATTTATTGGCTATTCCCCAATAAAAAAAGGTTGCAAATGATTTTGCCCAACTTCTAGGAAGGTATTTGAAAGCATGGATGTCACCTTTTTTGAAATCAACACATACTTCACTAATTCTGAAATTCAAGGGGAGAGTGAAGGAGAATTTCAAACTTGAGAATGAAATTCCTTATTATACAACCAAACATAGTACATTCAAAATTAACAAATATCACAAGAAATTCAAACCACGAGTATTTCCCAAGGTATGTCTCCTATGTCTCAACCTCCACCCTCAAACTTATTACCTCCACCAAAAAGTCCTAATCAATCACTGCAAAGAGCAACAATTATGGAACAACAATATGTATACTAAGGAAAAGAAAGAAAAAACAGCATTTGCAGAGCAGTTAGACACATCTTGTACTTCTCAAATCCCCTTCGATGGATCCAACAACTATAGAGATTCATACAGAGGAGAAAAATGAGGAAGTTCAAAAGGAGATCAAGTCATCAAATAGCTAGAAAGAATCATGCACCAAGCATCCAATAGAAAACTTGCTCTCCTATAGCAGATTATCATATACTTATCAAGTCTTCCTTTCCAAGTTAGATGATGTGCATATTTAGATCAATATTCAGGAAGCTTTGAATCAACCAGGATGGTGACAAGCTATTAAAGAAAAAATTATGGCCTTGGAGAAAAATCAAACCTGCGTAATTACAAATCTCCCACCAGTAAAGAAAGAGTCTACAAGCTTCTTACCTGTCTTGCTGCAGAATTCTTCAATTTCGTGAGATCACTTGGTCAAAGCCTCACCTAATGCCGCTACAATACTTTATACACTATGTTGAAACAAGTATAGTGAAATCTGCACTATGCCGAACACTTCCTGCACTCCCGCCTCTTGCTACAGCACTGGAAATACTATGCCGATTAAAGCTACAGTCCCGCCTCCCTCTACCGAACCTTGCTACAGGATCTTTGTCTCCGCCAGTATGCCTTCGACAAGGAACAAAAAATCAGCGGCTCCCTCTATTCCGTGATATCTGCATTTCATTTTTCTCTCCCATTTTATTCTCATGCCGTAACAACACTTATCCAAAGTAGATAAGGTTAGGAGAGTGGCCCCTATTTACCCAAACTATGCATCTATTCATAATAAAAAAAAATTACTTATTTAACTGAAATTACATAATCCATTTATTTTCTATTATTAATGTAACAAATATTTAACATTAAACTTACCTATTTAATATTAATCTATTTAACAAATAGTTAATCAATAAATTTGAATTATAAGTAGCATTTAGCAACTCACTTGGTTATCTGGTTGAGTCTTACAAGCTATTCCCCGATAAAAAAAGGTTGCAAATGATTTTGCCCAACTTCTAGGAAGGTATTTGAAACTTGAAAGCATGGATGTCACCTTTTTCGAAAACAACTCATACTTCACTAATTCTGAAATTCAGGGGGAGAGTGAAGGAGAATTTCAATCTTGAGAATGAAATTCCTTATTATACAACCAAACAGAGTACATTCAAAATTAACAAATATCACAAGAAATTCAAACCACGAGTATTTCCCAAGGCATGTCTCCTATGTCTCAACCTCCACCCTCAGATTTATTACCTCCACCCAAAAGTCCTAATCAAAGAGTAACAATTAAGGAACAACAATATGTATACTAAGGAAAAGAAAGAAAAATCAGCATTTACAGAGTAGTTAGACACGTCTTGTACTTCTCAAATCCCCTTCAATGAATCCAACAACTGTAGAGATTCATACAGAGGAGGAAAATGAGGAAGTTCAAAAGGAGATAAAGTCATCAAATAACTAGAAAGAATCATGCACCAAGCATCCAACAGAAAACTTGCTCTCCTATAGCAGATTATCATATACTTATCAAGTCTTCCTTTCCGAGTTAGATGATGTGCATATTTCAATCAATATTCAGAAAGCTTTGAATCAACCAGGATGGAGACAAGCCGTTAAAGAAAAAATTATGGCCTTGGAGAAAAATCAAACCTGCGTAATTACAAATCTCACTAGTAAAGAAAGTTGTAACCTGCACATGGGTGTTCACCATAAAGCATAAGGGAGGATGGTAGTGTTGAGAGGATGAAAGCTAGATTGGTTGCAAGAGGATTCCTCAGTCTTATGGAATAGACTATCAAGAAATTTTTGCTCCTATTGCAAAGCTCAACACCTTCAGGATTCTTCTTTCCTTAGAAGCGAATTTACATTGGCACCTACATCAACTAGATATCAAGAATGCATGCTTGAATAGGAACCTGAAAGAAGAAGTCTACATGGAGATTCTAGTGGAGATTCATAAGTCTTATGAAAGGGACAAAGTGTGTAAACTGCTAAAATCCTTATATAGATTAAAGCAGTCTCCTAAAGCATGGTTTGGAAGATTCTCAAAATATGTAAAAGGCCATAATTTTAAACAATGTTAAGCAGATCATACCGTGTTTGTGAAGCAATCACAAAGAAACAAGGTAGCAGTACTAATTGTATATGTGGATGACATCAACCTTACTAGAATGATATAAAAAAAATAATGAAGATCAAATAGGCTATGTCCAAGGAGTTTGAAGTTAAAGATCTAGGATCACTTAGATACTTCCTTGGTATGGAGGCAGCTCAATCAAGCAAAGGTATATTTGTTTTCCCACGTAAGTATACCTTAGACCTACTGAAGAAGACCAGCCTGCTAGGATGCAGACCATCCATTATACATATGGATCCTAAGAAGAAACTTGGGATAGAAAAGGAGGAAGTTCTAGTAGATAAAGGAAGATATCAACGTCTGGTAGAAAAGCTTATATACCTCTCCCACACCCATTCAGATATTGAGTTTGTTGTGAGTATGTTGAGCCAATATATGAGCAATCCTATGAAGGAGCAAATGGAGGCAGTATATCAAATCTTAAGATATCTCAAGAACACTCCTCAAAATGGCTATTATTCAAGAAAAATGAAGAAAAAATTTTGATCCTTTATTCTAATGTAGTTTGTGCAGGAAGCTAGGTTGACAGTAAATCGACCACATGATATTATTCATTTGTGTGTGGGAACCTAGTGACATGGAGGAGCAACAAAGCAATATGTTGTTTCCAGAAGCAATGTGGAATCTGAACTGAGACCATTAATAGTTATTATTTGTGAAGGTATTTGAATCAGACAAGTATTGATTAAACGAAAAATAAATATTGAAGGCACGATAAAGTTGAAATGTGAAAATCAAGCCACAATCAGTATGGACAAGGATCCAATACATCACGACATAACAAAACATGTTACTATTGATAGACACTATATATCTGAGAAAATAGAGAACTCAAAAATTGAAGTTGTATATACCCCAACTCATGAACAACTTGCCAATATTCTAACAAAGGCACTATTGGGCTCTCTACTTGAAAAGTTTGTTTGCCAGTTAGAATTGTACAACCCAACTTGAGGGAGAGTGTTGAATAACACAAAAAGGAAGGGGCCCACAGCTTTGACATTTTAGCAATCCTTGAGCTGCAACCGTGGGCTGTAGTTGGAGATTTCCTCTTCTAATATCAAGATCCATGGGATATAATTATTAGAATCAATTATATTAAATGACTTTCCTCTTTTGTTTATTATAGTTAATTAGATTAAATGTCTTTCTTTTTTTGTTTTTTTCTCCTAGAGTACATATATATATTTAATGATTTCAAGGAATAAGATTTGAATTCAATTTCCCCAACTATTTCTTCCTTAAAAGAAATAGTTTAGTTTATATTAAAAGCAATATCAGTAATATTAACAACGTATTTGATAGACATCAAGCCAATTGCATAGTGTTCTTAGATGTTCCCACTTCCCACTGGCATGAACAAAGAGAAACTAAACTTTCAAATATGACAATTCAGAATTGGGTGCTTTGATATGCAGTTATGGGTGCTTAATAGGAGGGTTTCAAAGAATCAAATTCCAATTGAATGTATCCTATGATAGGATTCAGTGGAACAACATTGATTAAAACTAAGATCCTCAATAAAGAGTTTTTAACTTCAGGTTTTGGAAATCAAGCTAGATCGTAAGGAATTTATCTAAATGTACTTCCATCTATAAGAGTTGCTTGGTTTTGCTATTTGGGAGACAATGTTATGTAGATTACAATTTTGTTTGAATTTTAATACAATCTATGAAATGCTTGTGATGTTCAATCCGATGTTTTTAAAGATTAGCATTATTTGAAATGCTCAATCGTGATTATAGCCCTAACATTTCACCATTGTTTTAGGCATTGAGACCGAGGCTATCCAGATAGTACTCATTCAGGTTCTATCTAGACCATATTCTTTATTCCATATAGTTGTCAACAAATCATTCCCTAAAATTATTCGTATAACATAATATTGGTCAGCAGAAAATAAAGCAATCTCCTCAGTAGCATCTTTCTAAATTTTCTTTCTTCTATTATTACTTTTTTTTTGTGTATGTGGAACGAAGAGGGAAGACATGAGAATTGAATTAAAACAAACCTTCCCTGAATCAGGTTGCAAATTTTATTTATTATTTATTTATTTATTATTATTATTATTATTATTATTATTATTATTATTATTATTATTATCATCATCATCATCAAAGTTACCCCATCAGATTTCATATCATTACATAATCAATTTTTTATTCAAGATATATTACATATTATAGGAGGCATTTACTGTGCCCAAAATATTATAATCGCGAAGCTTCAGAACGCTCAAATGTGAAATCAACGCAATACTTTTTTTAGGACATTTAGGCCATTTAAGGCAAACTTACACACAACGCATACACAAAGACTCGAACCCAAGACCTCTTAGTTGGAAACCTAAGCTCTCAACCAACAGGCTAAAGTGAGTTGTGTATCAACGCAATACTTAATCACCCTTTCACTGAACCACAAATAATCCAATTCCTAAAAAGTCCTACCATATTCTGCCTCGTTGTATTAAATATACAACTTAATAAAGCATAATTTCACACAATCAAGAAAACTAGACGCAACTTCCATGGTTTCAATTCAAAATGTACAATAAAGCGATGCTAATCTGAGAAAGAATTTAAGAAATTTTCGTATATAGAACTATTAAATTAGAAAAAAAAAAATCACTCTGAAAAGGTTAATTATAATTTTAATTACATTCCTCTTGAGCTTTTTGTGACTCAGAAACTTTGCCAACTTTCTAGAAAAGAAAGAAATGAATTCAATGCAAGCTGAAGACCGTTTAATATCGACCATACATAGAAGAGGATAATCTTCTACGGTACTACAAAGATAAATTAATACAACAAGAAAAAATTGAGGGATTTCAGTTTGAAGAGACTAGAAAAGGATCTAGAGAGAATAGCATTTACCAAAATTTGGCTTTTTTTTTAATTGTAAAATTGCAATGCTTTATGATGCGAAATGGTATTGCTGCTGGCCTTTTCTGAATTCCTTAGGTGGTGGATTTTGGATGGTTTATTGTTTGGAAGTATTTAGCCATCTCATGGTTGTGGCTTAAAAAGGCGGTGGTTGTCTCTCTTTATCTTCTTATATGGACGGTGGCGTGACTGCAAGACTTGCGCATAAGTTTCGGCTCTAATGACATGCCGCAAGTATTGGTGTCCAGTTCCTGCACCTATCTGTGACTTTCTACAATTGGGATGCAGGAATTGGATGTTAATTGTAAATGAATCACAAGATATTCAGCTAATTTGGAATTTAAAATTAAACTGGTTGTAGTTCAGTTGATTAGAAATTTAAAATTAAATTAAAAATTAATTTAAACTTCAACTGCTACTGATTTTATGCCAACCTTATCTATTAGAATAGATAATGAGAAATTTATAAATAGTTGATATTAGGCACACTTAATTAAAATTTTTTCTACTGGTATGAAGCAAAAAATTTCTTCCTTTGAGTATGTTTAGCGTTCAATGATGCAAGTGAGATTATCTAATTTCGGCTTATTTGTAATTACTTTGTTAACACAACTTTTTAAAGGATTCATTCAATTCGAGAGGAGGATCGAACTCTCCCAAATCTCTAGATGCCGCTAGAGCCCAAAGAAAACCTAAATCTAAGAGATCTCAAATTTCAGCCCAATTCAAGATACTCAAACCCTAGCCAATTCAACTATTTAATGCATACAAATCAAAAGGAATTCCCTAAACAGTCCCTATGTTCAAATTTCCCTCTCAAAACGCTCAAAAAAACTTCCTAAACAGCTCTACGGGGGCGGACGGGCCGCTCGTTCTCCGCCTGTTTGCGATTTTCGCCCGTGAACCGGTCCCGCCTGGACCGGTCTAACAATTTTATGCCAACCTTATCTATTAGCATAGATAATGAGAAATTTATAAATAGTTGATATTAGGCACACACTTAATTAAAATTTTTTATACTGGTATGAAGCAAAAAATTTCTTCCTTTGAGTATGTTTAGCGTTCAATGATACAAGTGAGATTATCTAATTTCGGCTTATTTGTAATTACTTTGTTAACACAATTTGTTAAAGGATTCATGCCATGACTATTCAACAAGTTTTACGTTGGCTATCAACTATCTAACACAACCCTCCACTTTTCTCATCCATGACTTGGGACCTAACAACGGCAGTGTTTTTTTAAAATGAAAAAGGATTCATGTAGCCGACCCCACGTAGTAGGACAAAGGCTTGATGTTGTTGTTGTTGTAATTACTTTGTTACTTGTTTAGTGCTCTTGACTTTGATTAAAAAATGATGTCAGGAATATAATTAATTCATGAAAATTAATTCATCATGCTCATTGATTTCACATGATTCAAATATTTTACAGAAATTCTCAAATTATTTCAATAATTTCACTATTACTTGGCCTAAAACTCTAACATTGCTTGTTTTTTTGGAGAAAGTAAGTGTTGAATGAATTGAAGACTTGTGATATGTGAATATCCAATATTTTTTTGCTTGAAATCATACTACACATCATGCTAATAGAAAACTCCAAACTCTAGTTATCCTACATGATTTTGTCCATATAAAAATAGCATCCAGATGCACTTTACCTTCGACAGAGGATTATTATCCAGCTTCAAAGAAGAAAGACTGGGTAGGGATGATAATATCACACCAGGCCATTGTGTTATTTTGTTCCCGGACAAAATCAGCACCTGCAAGTTTTTGTACAACAGAGGCATGTGTTGGAAGAACCCAATGAAGTTAGCATTTCAATAATTTGCATATCTAGCACTAGAATTTATCAAATAGCTTATCGAAAAGAAGAGTAAGGTTTGTATATAGATCACCAACTACTCGTCCAATTTCTATTTAAGATATGACATTCAACAAAATGTAAAATTCTGAAGGACATAAATGACCATCTGTTTGAAACAGGGATACTTATATGCAAGGCGTTGATGCATCTAATAAATAGATAACATCGGATGCCTTTTATAGGACAAATTATTATGTGTGGAGTCCAGACGTCGTCTAGAGCCAATAAAAATGCGCCATATCACTAAAAAAATGTACCGCGCTCCGTACCAAGCGGTACCGGACAGTTCTCTCGTCTGGTGTCCGCACAGAATAATCTCTCCTTTTATAGAAATTTGAAAGAGTGCACTCGTAAAAAGCATAGGATATGAGCATTAAGTCTAGCACATCCATATTCTGAGTAGTGATGTTTTCTTTAGCTGTTACATTTCATAATTTTTGTTATAAAGTTTATTTTTGAATAAAACATACCAATGATGTTTTCTCCAAATTTTTTATCACCATAGGATATGAGCATTAAGTCTAACACATCCATATTCAGAGTAATGATGTTTTCATTTGCTGTTACAATTCATAACTTTTTCTATCAAGTTTATTTTTGAATAAAACATACCAAATGATGTTCTCCAAAATTTTGATCACCTCGTTAGGTTTGATTTATTATTGCACGTAGCTTCAATTCAAACCTCAGAGAATGCAGAACAATAGGGCTGAAAATGAACTAAATATTTGATAAGCTACTTGCTGTTTCACTCGATTAGAGCTCATTTAACATTTAATTAACTAATCTAATTATATTAAACAGCTTGTTACTCAATTTGTATATGATCATGAACAACATTATTTAAGGCACATAAACAAGCTCATTAAGAAGCTCAATTAGGACTCGATAACAAAAGCACGATTAAAGCTCAATATAATACTTAATATAAAGCTCGATTAAGATGCCGTATATTACTTCACAAATTTAACAAATAGTTAATTAACTTATATGTAATTGTAAAGTTCAATTAAAACTTTGTAGTTGGCTAGGCTCACTGAGTTTATGCCCTTATGTTTCCATTTCCTCATTCATTAAATTTGTGTTAATAACTCACATCCCTGCCCAACCCCAGTCCCAGACACCTCCCACCTACTCCTTACACTTGCACACAAAAGCTTTATAGATCAACCTCTCTTGTATTGGCATGAGCCTCATTGACTCGGTATGCCCATTGTTTTTTCTATTGTTACTTATAATGCCCATGATAAGTTGTCTAAAAGTCCACATAATGAAAAAAACACGTGCAGAGACTAGAGAGGAACACATTGTCATATCAACAAGAAAATAAAACTTACATGTGGTTTGCTCAGAACTTCTAAAAAGAAAGCAATCCCATATCAACAAATCAAGGAACTTACAAGAGTCATGTTGAATATTTGAAAGTAAAAGTTAGGAAATATTGATTGTGATCTTATCCTATAATTTTTCCTAATTAGGGGATTTATTTTAGGCAAGCATTTTTAGGAATAAAAAGAGAGATTGATTGTGATCTTCTCCTATGATTCTATTTCCTAATTTTTAGGAAATAATATTCTCCTATGATTCTATTTCTTAAATTTTAGGAAAGAATTAAGGTAGGTAGTTATTTCCTTTATCAGATATATTTTTTAGTATATATATGTATATGTAGTAAAAATTTTTTGCAAAGAAGAATAATGAATTAAGAAATTCTTCAAGTCAAACATAAAAGACCAAGAGTTTTAAAATGCAACCCCTCTCCAAATCTCTCATTGGCCCTCATTTAACATGTATGCCCATTTTTTCTCTTTAAATTTATAATGCCCATGATAAGTTGTATAAAATACCACATATTGCAAAACACACCTGAAGTGAGGAACAAGTCGTCATTTCATTAGGTAGCTCAGTGATTGAATTTCTTGAAAGATCAACTTTCACCACCTCATCCGTCTCCCAGACAGCAGATGGGACAGTGGTCAAACCTAGTCCACTTAAAGATAGTTCCTGAAATGTTAATAATTATCTGCTAATTTTTCCACAGAAAATTATCTCCAAATAAGAATGCAAAAATATCATAAAATCGTGGATTCCAAAAGCTGGTGAAACTAAACCATGAAAATTAATAAGAAAATAAAATAGAAACATAGGAAGTACCTTTGATGACATTGGCAACAAGTGATGCAACAATTAAATGATTTGCAACATCAAATTAATACCGTAGTTGAGGCCATTGCTAATCTAAATGTCAATCAAGCTAACGTTAATCCTAGTATAATATCTTCTGGGAGTGAAGAGGAAGAACCTAGAAATCGAAATAGGCGACAAAGAAATTGGGATCACGGAATAATTAAAATCGACGTTCATAATTTTGAAGGAAAATTGCAACCTGAACAATTCATAGAATGAGTAGAAAAAATTGACCAGTTTTTTGAATGGAAAGAAATTCCGGATAATCGAAAAGTTAAATTTGCAAGCTTGAAACTAACAGGACATGCATTAACTTGGTGGAAAAACTTACAAAACAATAGATTAAGAAGAGGCAAAGAAAAAGTCCAAAATTGGGAAAGAATGAAGGAGAAAATGAAAAAAAAATTCTTGCCAACTGATCATGCTCGAACAATATTCCAAGATCAACTCAATTTGCATCATATCATTAAAACTGACAAGGCTTATCGTATGGCTTTAAAATTGGAAAAGCAACATCAAAGGGAAAAGGGTCACAATAAAATCGTGGAAACGTATAAACGTCGTTCAACTAACAGGATTAAATCTCAATCTCAAACTTCTGGGGAAACATCAGGTCTGAAAATTAAAGCTTTTGAAAGTCAAAATCAAGAAAAAGGAAAAGGAGTAGCAGGAAATAAACCGTCTGAACAATCTAAGCAAATTGGACCTTGTTACAAATGTGGGTTATATGGTCACTTGTCAGCTACTTGCAGAAAGAATAATCCTCCACGAACTAATTTCATAGAAGGTGAAAATGAGATAGAAGAAGAGGAGGAGAATGAAACAGAATCTGAAAATGAAGCTGAATTAGAAAAATTTGATTTAGAAGGAGATGAAAGTGAAAAGTCTTTGGTAATTCGACAAGTTCTAACAACAACAATTGACAAAGGGGATAGATGGCTAAGAGGAAACATATTCAAAATAACTTGCACCATCGAAGGAAAAATCTGTACCCTTTAAATTTCTTTATTTCTTTAAAATCTCCTAGCAACTTTTGTTAAGTTTTGGGTCGTTTGCGTTTATTTAATAAAGTTTGTTTTAAGTTTTACTCATTGTGTCAGTTTTCTTCTTGTATGTCTATTGTGATCAAGAGATATAGGCTCGCTATATCTCTTGCTTACATCAATAAGTTGTCTAAAAGTCCACATAATGCAAAACACACGTGCAGAGAGGAACACATTGTCATATCAATAAGAAAATAAAACTTACATGTGGTTTGCTCAGAACTTCTAAAAAGAAAGCAATCCCATATCAACAAAAACTTACAAGAGTCATGTTGAATATTTGAAAGTAAAAGTTAGGAAATTTATTTTAGGAAATATTGATTGTGATCTTATCCTATAATTTTGTTTCCTAATTAGGGAATTTATTTTAGGCAAGCAGTTTTAGGAATAAAAAAAGAGATTGATTGTGATCTTCTCCTATGATTCTATTTCCTAATGTTTACGAAATAATTGTTCTCCCATAATTCTGTTTCTTAAATTTTAGGAAAGAATTAAGGTATGTAGTTATTTCCTTTATCAGATATTTTTTTAGTATATATATGTATATGTAGTAAAAAAATTTTGCAAGAAGAATAATGAATTAAGAAATTCTTCAAGTCAAACATAAAAGACCAAGAGTTTTAAAATGCAACCCCTCTCCAAATCTCTCATTGGCCCTCATTTAACATGTATGCCCATTTTTTCTCTTTAAATTTATAATGCCCATGATAAGTTGTATAAAATACCACATATTGCAAAACACACCTGAAGTGAGGAACAAGTCGTCATTTCATTAGGTAGCTCAGTGATTGAATTTCTTGAAAGATCAACTTTCACCACCTCATCCGTCTCCCAGACAGTAGATGGGACAGTGGTCAAACCTAGTCCACTTAAAGATAGTTCCTGAAAGGTTAATAATTATCTGCTAATCTTTCCACAGAAAATTATCTCCAAATAAGAATGCAAAAATATCATAAAATCGTGGATTCCAAAAGCTGGTGAAACTAAACCATGAAAATTAATAAGAAAATAAAATAGAAACATGGGAAGTACCTTTGATGACAGAGACAACCTAGTTGCCTTAGCAATTACATCAACTTTTATGGGACTGCTGCTTGATCCAGGTGCTATAGCAAAAGTATTAATCAGAAAAGAATATTTTTGTCATGTCATATGAGATGGAATGTTTCAATTTAGATTCCTGTTTGAATATTTTTAGTTATAAATGAAAGATTTTTGAAGCAACAGGCAACTAGAATGCCTATGCTAAAGGGATTGAATAAAACTGTCTCTCTGAAAGCAATTTCACCTTCTGCAGTAGAAGAAAGTCGACTTCGCAAGTACTTCAATAATGCCAATGTAGGTCCAGAAACCAAGGAACTGAAAGAAATAAATGTTATAATGCTAGGTCAAAGGTTATATCCAAGAAACTATTCAATCAACAAACAAGAAGAAAGATTTAAAACCTTCGAATTGTTCGAATTGGGTTTCCATTAAGCAGGAGTTTTCTCAGGGAAGTCATGTTACCTATCAAAAAACACGAACCAATTAAAAAGACTGCAGAATGGGAAACAAATTTAGAAGTTAAGATTAATGCAAGAAGTACAAACATATTAACTTCATTCGACTAAGGCTTATAAAATTACCTATGGATGAAGTTACAGTCAATTCGTTTGTCAATAGGTCTACAAATAGGAGTTCATTTGAAATATTCACAGGGTGTCAACCTAAAATAATGGTGGCGGTAATCTTTTTGTGATATTAGTGGCTACAAAAGGCTATGAATCTTAAGTTCAATATTTAAACAAGTATTTTTAAGTTTATGGTTGAATGGTGAGAAATTTAAGGATGCATACTAGTGAAATGCCAAGCCTGGTCCAGCTTGGGCTAATGTGAATTGATTTGAAAAATTACTATAGAAAGGAGGTTTTATGTGGGAAAAATTACTATATAAATGATGGTAGAGTGTTGGCGTAGGATGTAAACTTCTGATACAAAGTTGATGATAGAGTTTGGTATAGTTTAAGAGGGTGTCGAGGTGCAGGGAATAAGAATCTTAGCTCTGCCTAGTTTGGTTGAGAGCTTTACGGATGGGATTGGGGCAGATGTAAGGTTTTGATTACTGGTCTATTGGCCTTGGAGGTTGTTTCTGAAGTGGAGGACGATATTAGAAGAGTTTGGAGCAAATGTTTAAAAGGAATAACAAGTAACTTAAGAAAAAATATATAAAGATAATTGTCAAATTCACAAAAGATAGTTAATTTATTTGAAGCCATCAAGCACCAAGTAAACGAAGAAGACTTCTCTATTAAAATATTTCATTCATTAATGAAAAATTATAAAATACTTTAGCCCATATTTATAAGCATTTACAAAAATTTTGGGCTTTGGAAAAAAAAGAGATTAGTGATCCATTATGCAGGAGTTCTAATCATCTATTTTTAATTTTTCCCCAATTCCAAATCAAGTCATGGCTGACAATATTAGTACTTAGGTAAAAAATAAAATATAAAATTACATTTAAAATGCACTAAATTATGGCTCTTTGTTTGACTCTTATAATCAGCTCTTTTACTTGATCATTCTATCGGGCTTTAGCCTTAGCTCTTATAATTGAGCTTATAAATTGACTGTCTTGATCCATATGATATGCTACATCAATTCCCTCAATCTCAATTTAACTCAGCCTTCATACAGTTGAAAGTCGAGTTGTCTTTTAACAATTGTGGTGCTGAAATCTCTATATTAGTGTGATTCGGTCATGTTTCATCAGTGGGCGACTTATTCTTATAACAACCTAGAAAATGATACTTAAAGAGTCAAGGGACCACTTTGATCATTTTCTCACAAATATAAGTCATTATTTTTTAAACTTTTCCTAAAGTCATCTAAGTAGGTTTCCGAAGGTTCAGTTTACTACTTTAGTTTATCCATCAATTTTAGGATGAAAAGTATATAAAAGTATCAATTGGTATCATATAATTTTCATAAATTTTTCCATAAGTAAGAAATTAATCAAACATTATGATCAGAGACAATAGTTGAAGGTCATGTAGGTGCACAATTTTTTTGAAGTATAGTTTAATAATATAGAAATCAACATTAGTTTTGGAGCTGGGTAGTAAAAATTGGCCATTTTTTAAAATTGATCAATTATTATAAAAATATTATCATAACCTCGAATCCCAAAATTAAATACATCAACCAGGTAAGTCAGTTTATTATTCAGATTTCTACTTGGTAGGTTTAACCTGTTTGCAGGTTAAGTATTAGGCCACCAATTTTTCAACATCCCTTTAAAGAAGGCTCATAAAATCTACTTTCCATAAAACATATGATTTTATCTTTCTCAAAATGAATGACTATTCCTCCAGAAGTCAATTCAAAGATTAAAAATTCCCTAAGTGAAGTTCTAGAATTATAAAATTATTTTCTCCTGTGCAGTTATCCATTGATTATAGAGAATATTCCATGTAGGGTCAAAAGTTTATATAAGTGCTCAAGATAAATTACATGAAAATTGGGACAAACTGAATACTCATCTTGAAGTCGTTCAAATTCCAAAATTTTGAGTTCTAGAGAAGAAAGTATCAAAGCTAACTTAGATGAAACATTTGTAAGTTTGTTTTCAATTCCCGACTTATATTTGAGGATAAAAGAATAATTTTGGGGAACTCAACCTATTGGCATATCTATGATTTAATTTTTTTGTTGGACGTTGATGAATTTGAGGGCATTATGATTAGATTTTTTAAAAAAATCCTTATGTAGAAGATAGTGCCATGCTCGTTTCAAAGATTGGATGTTATCTTAAAATTTTTATTATATATTGAATATCATTATTTTGTCTCATTTAGTTTCTTATTAAATCTACTGGATGATTTTCTTGATTTAAAATTCCACCAATTCCAAAAGCATGACAAGTTATTTTAAAGGCCTTGGAAAGATCAAGTAACCTAAGGTAAGGGCTGAGATAATAATAATCCTAACCTGATCCAAGGCCTTTTATGTTTCAGGAGTCTAAGAAAATTTATCTAATTTTAGTTATTGGGGTGACGCCTAAACTAAATCCCTAATGTATCTCTAATATAAAATAGCTGGACCATGAAAACTTTGTATTTCAATCAAACTTTACAAAGTTTTCGATGGTGGTCAGTTCAGGATTGTTTTAACTTTTAACTTTCGAAGGGTCATGCTTAATTCTTGTCATCGAAATAATAAATCCTAAGAAAATTACCTCAATTTGTAGAAAGAAACATTTATTTAAGTTGATGTACAATTACTCCTTCCTAAGAATTTCAAAGACTTGTCTAAGAAGTTGCATAAGATTTTCTTATTTTGGCTAAAAATCAAAATATTGTAAAAGTACACAATAAAAAACTTTTCTATCAAGAGTTTTAGGACAGTGTTCATAAATCTCATAAACATGTTAGGAGCATTTGAAAGTTCATAGGGCATCACCAACAATTCATAGAGCCGATCAATGGTCTTGAAAAGAGTTTTTCATGTATCTCTCAATCAAATCCTAATCTAGAGATCAGTACTTTTTAAACAATTAAAAAAACAGCCCATGAAATTGAATATAACGTATCATCCAATTGATGGATAAACAATCTATACTTGCTAGTAATTTTATAAATAACCCGAGTATCAATACGCATTTTTCTTTTGCCATCTTTTTTTAGGGTTAATAAAGCTAGAACTACACAACGAATAAGACTTTACTATAGAAAATCTTTCTTGGGTAAGTCCTCAAATTGTCTTTTAATCGAAGATTCGGCCTTTAAAAAAAATAGAGATGGCTTATTACACTTGTTTTAAATAGTAATTACAATTATGCTTATGATTCAATACATTTACTCGCATGACATTTTGTATATATATTTGTTAATACTAATAACACTATTTTTCATTAAAATAAAAAATCAAATGACCTTTATTAAAATATAATACATTTTAAATGAAATAGTATCATGTTAAAATTCAATTATATATGTGTGTAAATTTAAATGAAAAGAATAGATTATAATTTTGAAAGAAATGTACTAAGAGAAACTTAGAAAAGGTATATATAAGCAAATACAATAATTCTCACTCTTATGGTACTAGTTGAGAATGCAAAATACTCGTACATTAAAAATAAAAGAAAATATTAAAAATGAAAATAGTTGTACTTTCATTGGTGTAGATGCTGCTCCAGAAATAAATGGCTTATTAAAAATTTTAAATTAACAAATATAATATCAAAGAATATGTTATGTAAAATGATGTCTTTTATTATCAATATTCATATTTAAATTTCTCTTAAATGAAATACTCAAATGGTTACTTATGATAACTTATATGTGATGCGGACATCCAACGGTAAATGCTTATCTAAGGTATAAATGAAGAGCAACGACCGAGATCATTCTACTTTTTCTTAATTTACTAATTGTATTTTTTATTTATGCATTTCCCGTTTTACCCTCACTAGAGGGAGTTGTCCTTTGTAAGCCCTAGGGGCATGTTTGTCTTTTTTAGTTTCTTTTATTTTCAAGCCTATATATAGAGGCCCTTGCTATTGTATTGGGATGATGGAGTTTTAATAAAATTTTGTTCTGCACTTGTGTTCCTTGGAAGGACTTTGGTGAGATCCCTATGTGAGGGAAGCGTAATATCCACCAGTTGCAGGATGTGTCCGGGCTCGTGTTCGAAGTCCCTAGGTGAGGGCAGCACAGCACTCATCAGCCGCAGGTTGTGTTCAGGCTCATGGTTTATCTTTTTTTTTTCCCTACACTTCCTTTCTCCTTCTCTAATTTCCCTTCTTCTTTCTTCTAGCCACTGCTTTACCCCCTCCTTCTCCCAATCTGAAATTAATTGGAATTAATTCCAATTTTCATGCACAGCACTCATCAGCCGCAGGATGTGTCCGGACTCATGATTTATCTTTCTTTCCCTACACTTCCTTTCTCCTTCTCTAATTCCCCTTCTTCTTTCTTCTATCTGTCGCTCTACCCCCTCCTTCTCTCAATCTGAAATTAATTGGAATCAATTCCAATTTTCATGTTCATTAAACTTAGAAATGTGGACATCTTTCCTTTGCTTCCTCCTCCACCCCCCCCCCCCCCCCCCCCCCCCCCCCCCCTTCCTTTGACCGGCCCCTCTCCCTCTCTCTCAACTAATTAAAAGGCCCATTAATGCTCCCCTAATTAAGCCTCCAATCCCACCAATTACTCCCACCTCTATGGTTAAATTTAATTTCAGCATTTTGAATTTGATTCCCTCCTATTTCAAGTTCAAAATTCTGAAATTGAATTTCCCTCTAAAAACCGCCGGCAAACCTAAACCCAACCCACTCCTCCTAGCCGCCAGCTTTAGCCCCACTCTTTTCCCTCCTAAATTTATTCTTTCCTAAATTAAGTCGTTTTAATTTTGGTAAGTTTTTGAATTCAAATTCAAACAAATTTGAAATTTCAAATTATTTCCTAAATTATTTAGTTTAATTTTGGAAAGTCTTCCTTCAATCAAATATTGTTTAAATCTAAAATTGATTGGGAATCAATTCTAATTCCTACATTCATCGAACTTAGACACTTCTCTCCCCTCCCTCTTTGGTCGGCACCCATCTCTTTCAAATTATTTAGTTTAATTTTGGAAAGTCTTCCTTCAATAAAATATTGTTTAAATCTAAAATTGATTGGGAATCAATTCTAATTCCTACATTCATGGAACCTAGACACTTCTCTCCCCTCCCTCTTTGGTCGGCACCCATCTCTTTCTCTCCCTTCTAAATTAATTAATTCCTCAATTGGGCATTCACTTAGGGAAATTAATTAACCACCCCCCCCCCTTCGTTCTGCATCAATATGTATACTATTTTTATTTATTACTACATTATAGAATTATAACTAACCACTGAGTTTGATGTTGGAAATTCAACCCATTAAGGGGTCGTTTGATTTACTGAAAAAAGAATGCATTGTAAAGGAATGCAATGTATATGAAATGATTGGGATTTGTTTGGATTAGTGTAAAATAAATATTAGTAATTGCTTCTTCTTTTTTTGGTTGAAGTAAAATAAATATAGTGTAAAGCCCAATGTTGATGGTGGCATGTGTTCGGAGGTGGGTAATGGTGGGCTAAAAATGGCAACTTGTGGGTGGCAATGGGTGATGGCGAGCGACAACCGATGATAATAGTGAGCGGGTGACAACAGTTGGTAGCTACTAACGGCGTGCAACGACCAATGATGGGAGCCAATAACGATCGAGGCAGTAATGAAAAACAATTTACAGTGTTTTTGGAACTCGGACAAATCCAACCATTTTCAAATACACAGAAATTGAACTACATGGTGAATTTAATTCTTAACAGGACACAATGGAGAAAAAAAGAGTTATGTACCTGACCATGTAGTGGGATAAAGGCTTGATGTTGTTGTTGAATGATTTTTTGAACTACATTTTTATAATCTAAATTATGAACTTTCACCCATCACACCATCTAGTTATATTAGGAACTCTGGATCCTAAGAAATCGTGCATCATTGGACCTCTAATTCCTTGTTAAAGCTGGGGTTCAGTAAATCCTTAAGAGCTTCAGTACCAAACCAGGTTTTTCTAGAGTCTATGACAGAATCAACAAAATCTTATGGGCCTGGGTACCAAGCAAGTCTGTTCTAGTGTTCCGGATAGAAGGATTGAGCTGGATTTGACATAGGGCCCATTAATTCTAATTCCTTGTTAAAGCTGGGGTTCAGTAAATCCTTAAGAGCTTCAGTACCAAACCAGGTTTTTCTAGAGTCTATGACAGAATCAACAAAACCTTACGGGCCTGGGTACCAAGCAAGTCTGTTCTAGTGTTCCGGATAGAAGGATTAAGCTGGATTTGACATAGGGCCCCATTAATTAATATCATGTTCTGGCCTTGTGTTTGTTAAAAGGGAGGATTACTTGATTTGTTGTATGCCATTGCTAATCATACATTTATATCAAGCATGGAAAAATATATTTGGGAAATATCAGCCAGCTTCATTTTCAAAACACAACTATTCTGAAGTCGGCAACTCATGTTCGACCGACCAGAAATTTAAGAAGTATCACGATAACTAGAAATTCTAAAAAAAAAAAAAAGATTTAGTTATACCGGAATCTTGCATTGAATGGAAAACTGGAGGAATGACAGCAGGTTGGAGAACCCCCTGATGCCTGGAATGCGTTGAGAGTTCTGGACAGCCTTCAATTTACTGTTGGAGGTCTGTGAGGAGACCGGACAGCAGCTGCACTAGACAGATTGGCTGGGGGAAGGAAGTGCATGGCAGTTCTGGCGCCTGGAAGATGGACAGCAAATCTGCAGCCTGAGAAGGGGAGGACAGCAATTCTGGAGTCTGGGAGGGCAGACTGCAGCTGGACTGCAAGTTTCTTCAGTTTCTTGGTGAAGAGGAAATTGGGGAGGGGGGTTCTAGGGAAAAGAACGACAACGTGGCTTGGCCAGGAAACAGAGAAGGATGGTAGAGAAAGGATTCCGGCATTTTTAAATTATAAAAGAAAAGGCTACCCCAAAGGTTTTTTTTTTTTTAATAGGAAACTAATAATTAAACTCTAAAAGAAAATAACAAAAATAAGAAGGAAAGGAGGGGCGGTTGGCCCCGCCGGCTTCATTAGGAGGACGATAATCCCAGCTTCCGACTTGAATAAATTGAATAATTGATTATTGCACAACAAACAACTTTAGCGAGAAGCGCTAAGCCTAAACAAGATGTATAATGTACATACAGCCTTTTATACTTTAAACTCAAATTTAGAAGTAATTTGCTGATTAAAGCTAATCAAAGGCACTATAACTTGGCTGACGAGTTTCTAAGCATGTTGGTATAGAATAAGCATAGAAGAGTAGAGAAATGCCCTTTTACATAAAGTGATATTTCACGTCACTTCAGATTGCAAGCATTCAAATAATAAAGGTGCTACAGAATACCTTTCTTAACAATGGAATTTGAATCACATGTGAAAAAAAACATCACACCACTTATGCTTAAATTTTCAAATGATGTAGAAGATTTTATTATCATTTGAATAGCCAACGTCATGATAAGAAGAGATTGTCATAGACTGCTAACCAAGAGGTTTCTCAAAATAAAAATAATGAAGGTATCATACTTTATGACTTTCAGTAACTATTGCAAAGCTGTTCACTATCCAAATAATAACAATTTTTTACAATAGGCGTATGCTAACCTTACCAATCTCTGGTGGCAAGCTGGATAATGAATTATTGGACAGATCTAGAACCGAAAGTTGTAATTTGCAGGCTTCCACAGGAAACTCCTTCAACTGCAAATTTAATAGAATAACCAATCACCAGCTAGTAAATATTTTCAAGCAGCATATACAAATAGAATGCAAGGAAATAATAACAAATATACATAATCGTAGTACAAAGCAATTAATAAAGCATGTTAAATTTGCTTATATGATTCATTAATCCAATTGAAAAAAAAGGCATGCTAGATGTGATATACGTAATTGAATGCCAAAAAAAAACATATGACTAGAAGCAAACTCAAATTGGTCACTCGTTTTATTTTTATGGATGTAAGATAGGATAGGACACAAGTGAAAAAAACAAATCAAAATAATATGCTCTATAAGATCATTAACAATGTGACCTACAAGAAGGGTAGAAGGAAAAAAATTTTAAGTACATGACTCATATACTTTTCACACAAATGCACACGCACATGCAATTTTGTACACATACACATATGCGGCCACATCCAAGTACATTTCATAGATGATATATCCTAATAAAAATACAAACTATTAATTATTATGGTTGTCTAGATAGCAGCACCAAGAATTTATTTCTATAATTCCCAAGCAACAGTGGTATTCATATAATCATACATCACCGCTAATAAGTCGCCTCACAATACATAAGAACCCTTCCATCAAATACATAACTCAAGCACCAATCCGATGATTCAGCTCAAATCACTCCCAACACTAATCTCAAAGTGATCCCACAACTTGATTTCTATCCCCAACAACACATCTCAAATCCTTAAGGCTTCATCCTTCCACCTATCACTGCAAAGCGATGAATAGTCAAGCATGAATCTCAAAGATGAGATGTCCTACTATTTACCCTCTGATTGATCCGAGGATGAAAATTATCCCCCATCCAAAGCCATTTTTGCCCAACAAAGATCTTTGAGACGAAGTGTCTCCTCCATTTACCATGTCTCACCAAAGTTGCCAAAATACCTTGCAACTTTACTCTATAAATACCCCTCTTTGGGGAAAGGTGAGTGGACTTCATCATCATCAACATCATTAATCATGTCCTAACTATATGGGGTTGGCATTATGAATCCACATCTTTCTTTCACTCCTCTTGAGTGTTGCCCAAGGTGCTAAACATATTCTTCAATAAATCATTTGAACAACTTATATGCATGTAACATTAGGTTTACCCCATCTCCTGCCTAACCATTTGAGGCTAACTTTATTTACTCTTTGTTGTTCAGCTTGCTTAACGAGCTGCTCGATAAGAGGCTCAACAAGTTCATAATTGAACGAGTTCAAACATGAACACGAGCCGAGCTCAAACATGAAAATTTTAAACGAGCTCGAACAACTGTCCAAGATGCTCGACGAGCTCCGAGCCGAGCTTGAGCTCGGTTTTGACAAACGAGCTTGAACACGAACAGGCCTAAGCTCGGCTCGGCTCATTCATTTGCAGCCCAAATTTGAAGATCCTTTTTTTAATCTTTCTACTTTTCCACACTTGGAATTTTTCACGTTACAATTCGTGGGAACATAAAATAAAGGTCATGCTCTTAGAAAACTACAAGAAAAAAATTTCTAGAAAATGTTCACTTCAGACAGGCTAATCATTAGAAGCAACAAGAGATTTCCAAGCAATAAATGCAAAAGTTCACCACAATACCTGATTTGAATGAAGGTCCAGAGTTCCCAAACGAGAAAGTGCACCCAACTCCTCGGGTAGTGATGAAAGCATATTGGTTCTGAAGTTTAAAGTAAATAATACAAGACAAAATGAGCCATTCAATGGTCACCAAATAATGAGGGAAATCTTAGCATATAAATGAATCAAAAGGACCATTCAACAGCTGGAAACTGATGAAAAAAAAAAATTAATGTGTAAGCATACCCCATATAAAACTCAGCTAATGAGCAGCATCCCATAATTGATGATGGAATCAACAAAATTTCTATATACAAAAACATACAAAATCAATCATTAAGAGTAATAAACCTAAATATGGGTATCGACAATAAGTATTGAAATACACAGATTATTATTATTATTATTATTATTATTTTCAACTTACTGTTTTGATGGAAGTCAAGACGTATCAATTTTGTGAGAACCCCAATGCTATCAGGAAATGTTGTTAGAAGATTTTTTGCTGTTAATCGATAAAATTGGAGGATGCTAAGCATAGTTCATTCAATGAGGAATTTGCTTGATGACTAAATTTAAAAAATGCCATGCCATGATGAAAAATAAAGTATACAATACTATCTACATCTAAAGCTTGATAAGTGTACCGGCATTAAACTCTGTAAGTATGGTCCAACACCTCAATATGTTTTCTGGTATTATTGTTAGTTTATTTCCCTGAAATAGTATATATTATCAGATCCTTTCTAAAAATTTTGATTGAATATTTTTTATTCTTAACTAATATACTAAAAGAATACTCTTGTGAGTCAAAAAATATAAGCTCTTGTGATACCTCGATATCCACTTTAATTAACTTCAAACATTTGGCAAGTTCGTCTGGAAGTTTGGCTATGGAGTTGTTTGTTGCCTGCAGATCAATTGGAGTGTCATAAGGAAAAAAAGAAAAGAAAATTCAATTACAAGAATTTCATGAAACGGCTTAAGTCGACATATTAAGAGTAGATATAAGGATGATATCTTTGAACTTAAGATCTTAATAAGTTTTTGTTTTAATATCTTTCCAATAGAATTCTATTACAGGAGAGATGAAAATGGAATTCTCCATTCCCAGAGAAGAGTGTTACCTTGAGTTCCATTAAATCAATGCAATTGCCAAGGCTGTGAGGCAGTTCATTCAGAAGATTATTCGAGCAATCAAGCCTGCATATAAATAATTCAATATGAACTTCAAGGTTGTCGACATGCTAAAATTCGTACATCAGATATTCTTAGCTTTTGTTGTACTTGTTGATAAACTAAAAGCGGATCCCTCTAGAACATCAAATCCATTTTCAACTGGCCCACACCCAAAAGTTTTGATAGATGACCGTAGTTTTCATGGTTTAGCCACATTATATCGATGGTTCATTAAGAATTTCAGCCATTAAAAGTTTTCCAATGCCGGTTAGGTAGGTAACATACTACTACTGATGCAGTACAAAAAATTAAGTTTAGACTTTTTATTGTATTTTAAGATTTGTATCAGATTTTTTAATAATTCTAGATTTGTTAGACTTGTCCATTTGGATATCTTAAGGTTTTAATTTGATTTATTACAATTCATCCCAATTTAATTTAAACTAGACCTAATAAATTCAAAAAATTCAAATAAAGATTAAAATAAAATATAATAATCTAAAGCAAATTTATTGTGTTTAATCAATTAGGCATACAATTTGTTGCTCTGCCTTGGCTTCCTCGTCTTGATGCCCGTGCATGTTGTTCTTGCTCTGATCTTGACTAGCTTATGCGCCTCATCGAGTGACTCGCCTCATTTCCTTATCCCTATGCTCGTGTGACAATCTCCTAGCATCTCGCGAGACTCTACCACTATAGCTTCTATCAAACCATCTAGGGATGTTGGACGGCTCTCCTTTTCTGATGCAATCATAAATTCTGTATTTTCATTTTAATATTGAACATTAGTATTTTAATGTAGTTTTTTTATTATTTTAGCTATCCAATGATGGAAGGCATCCAATGATCATGGTAGGTTGTGCTTGGGCTTTGGTAGACCTTTGGTTTGCTAGCTTGATTGGTCTTTGGCTGCTGCTAGTTCTCGGGTTGGCTTATGGTCCACGGTTTTGGGCGGGTGATGCTTGGGAGGGGGTGGTTCATTGGAGTTGAGCTTTAATTGCTAAGTTGCTAGCTCATTAATGATGAGCTGAAGTTTAGTTCATTTAAAGGGGAATTTATTGAACTACCTAGCTCATTAATCTACTAAGATATGCTCATAAATTGGATTCATTATGGAGTGGACTTGTCCCTTCTCCTCCCCTTTTCTTCTTAAAATTCTGAGCTTGGTCCCTTGGGTTTCCGAGTTGGGTTGTTGGTTTCCTGTGCTGGGTGGTTTTCCTGTGCCTTTGGCTCCTCGGTTCCGTGTTGGCCCCTTTGGTTTGTGCGGCTGTCTCCTCGGTTCTGTGCTGGCTGCTTGGGTTTTGCGGTTTCCTGCTGGGAACCGTGGGCTCCTTCTCTGTTTTAGCTGTGCCGTTTGGGAATAAAAAAAAAGGATTGTTGGCCTTTCATTTCCCTCATTTAATTAAGTATTTGAAGAGATTTTGGGGCTGTTTGGTTTCCCCTCTCTTGCCTGTAAATATAAGGTATTTTGAGATGTAAAAAGGTTGGTTGATTATTGAAAGCAAAGTTGCCAAAACCTGAGGGTTCTTCTTGGAAAAGCTTGAGAGCTTGTTCCATTCTCCTTCTCCTCTAGGAAAGCTTGCGAGCTTCTCCTCTTTCTTCTCGGGCTTCTTACCTCTTTCTTCTCTCCGCAAGTTCCACTCCATTTGTATCCTTCTTCTTGAGCTTTGGTGGTGTTTGTTGGCTGATTTGGAAGCATTTGCTGGAGGAGTTTGGATTGGTCGGTTGGACTATCTTGCTGTGGTGGACCATCGGTTTGCTAGCCCTAAGCACATATTTTACTTAACCTACATTTCGATGCATGTGAGGAACCCGCTCTGACGGTTGTCTGAGGATAGCGTTTTTTTTTTTTAGTTTTTTTTTTTTTTGTTTCTTTTGCTAACTTTCTTTTGTTTGGGTTTGTTGGATGATTGGGTTTTTCTAATATGATTTAGTCATTTTAACTAGTCTATTTTGTTCTCCAAGTGGTGTCTTAAGTTTCTACAAGTGAGTCAGTCTTGATTCTCTTTTAAATTTGTTGTCCTCTCTTTGTGTTTTACTTCAAGTTGCATACATCATTTTCTTTCTCCAACCACCACCCTCTCCATCGAACAATGTTATTTTTTTCCTCATTCCATATTTGTTCCATTTGTATACTCATATGTTATCGGTTGCTTAACTTTCCCTCTCTTTGCTCCCAACTCTTACTCAAACATCTCCCTCCTTGGAGGATCCTAGGGCTTCTATGATTCCCTCCAAGCCACCTTGCCTCCCCATGCCCAAGTCTCTCCAATCATCTAAGAGGTACATTTTCCTATCGCTCATAATCTCAATCATTTGCAAATGTGGTGGGAAGATTGCCAAGTTTGAGATCGCTGCCATCTTCTTCCATGCAAAACCCATTATTTTTTCAACAAGCCTCAGATATAAATGTACACAAGATAGCTTTAACTATCCAAGTCAAACCTAAACTTATTTTCACAAATGCTAAAGATATATGAATTTGCACGATCATCCTCATTCTCTATTATTGGTAAAATATCACTGGGCCATCCCAACATGGATGGCAGTCACAAATTCTAGGTAGATTTATAATTAGTTAGTGAATATTCGGCTAGTCTCATTTATCATCATATCATTTTCAAACTGTCTTTATATTCAAATGACACCAAGCATTCACCTTGTTATACCTATTATGCCAGAGGCTTTTTGATGTGAATGTTAAAGTGGTCCTCCCATTCTTATGCTTCTGAAGAACCACCTGTCACCCCTATATGGATATTTTTCCTAGTTTCCATTTACAATACAATCAATCACTAAAGTCTATACACTTTGGGGTCTATTTTTGGCAAATCTTTGCAAAATAATGTTGATATTGCTCGACTTTCTAGGCCATCAAAGACCAGGGCCCTAGTGAAAATGGATGATTCTTCTCCGGTTCAAAAGGACGTGTGTAGTGGCACTGATGAGGACATCCGACCTTGGAGAGTTTACCAGAGACGGTGCCGACGATCGATGGCCACGATCACACCGCTTTATTTTTTAGTTATTAATTATATTTGACTTATTGTTGTTTTTTTTTTTACTCTCGCTTGAGGGATTAGATGTTTGTGACCCCAAGGGGTATTATTGTTTTTTGTTTTGTTATTATATGTGGGGACCATTTATAGCCTCCTATTCTTATGAAGGGATGAAGAATATTATAAAAATTTCAGCAAATTGTCTCTTGTGAGCTTTGAGAGAGAGCATTGATGAGAACCATAGGTGAGAGCAATGTAACACCCACCAACTGCATGAAGCATTCGGGTTCGTGATCTACCTCCTCCTTCCCCGACCTCCCCTCTCTTCCACCCACAAATCGCCAACCACCATCTTCTTCCCTCCTCCAACAGTCGGCCTCTCCCCTTCCACTCCTACTAGCCGCCGACCCCAAGAAGCGCCATCCCTCCTCCTAGGCCTAGACCACCCTCCTCCCTAACCGCCGGCTAAGCCACCCCAACACCAACTCCTACCCTAGCCGTCAACCCTAACTCAAGTCCTCTTCCCTAAGCCGCCGGCAAACTCCTCCCTTGGCTCCCCCAATTTTCAAAATCTATTATTCAAAACCCTTCCTAAACTAACCCTTCATAAGTTAGGAAACTATTCTAATTCATATTCAAATTGAATTTGAATTTGAATTTTATTTCCTAATTGAGCCACCCTATTTTAGGAAAGCCCATTAAATCGTGCCTATTTGAATTTTAAATAAGATTTGATTTAAAACAATCTTTCCTATTTAAATATCCTAAATAGGGCAAGCCTTAACTCCTCCTTCTAAAACCCCTTTCCCCTAAACAAGCCGCTGGCCCCCCTCTTGGTCACCCCCTCTCTCTCTCCTATCTAATTAATCTACTCCATTAAACCCTCCAATCAGCCCCCCTAACCCCTATCAACCCTAGCCACCTCCTCCCAAACTTCCCTTCACGTTTTCCCACTCTTTTCTAAAATTCCTGCTTGTTGTCCAAGAATTTCAGCAAGCCTTCTTTGCTGTCCTGCTGCCCGAAAGACCCTCGCTTGCTGTCCAGAAAATTTCAACAAGGAACTTTCTTGTCCCGCACTCCGGAAAGACGTCGTTTTCTGTCCAGAAGTACCAGTACATTAAAATCTGTTATTCCCTCATGTATGGTGGATCCAGAACTTGATCACGGATTTGTCTATGATGATCAAGGACAAATTGATATCCTCAAATCTTTGTTCTTTGATGTCAACTTGGAGGTCAACCGTACCATTGAAGAATACGTCAAAAGGATTATCTTCTCTCTCGCCGCAGCTATCGACGAACAACTCTCTCCCGCCCAGTGGCAGATCATTTCCAAATCCTGATAAAGGTGAATTTCTCCTCGAAGTCTTCTGCTTTTCTAAGTCTTACCTTTAATTTGTGGCACCATAAAGGTTGTGCAATCTATCTCCGTTTAGCTTACATCAAGAGTGTGAGTGAGTGGATCCAAGTAGTGCCTAATCTTATTATCAATTCAGGGATTTCCTTTGAAAATCCCCCATGCTATGCAATCTTGATTGGAATTGATTATTCATGATTTTAACTCTTACCTGTAATTTGGCTTAAGCTTTAATCATCTCTCTATTGTTTTAATATTTGTTTAAATCACTAGAAGTCAATGTAATTATTATTGCTCTAATTTAAAAGGAATGTAATTTTGACATTGCATAATTTCCCATGCATTTAGTTCTACATCATCCAAGTTGTGTCTAATCTTATTGTCAATTCAGAGATTTCCTTTGAAAATCCCCCATGCTATGCTAATCTTGATTGGAATTGATTATTCATGATTCTAACTCTTACATATAGTTTGGTATAAGCTTTAATCATCTCTCTATTGTTTTAATATTTGTTTAAATCACTAGAAGTCAAAGTAATTATTATTGCTCTAATTTAAAAGACGTGTAATTTTGACATTGTATAATTTCCCATGCATTTACTTCTACATTAAGCACAATGTTGACTGATTACTTGTATAAGGTTGAATTTAAAGGCATCCCCTATTATTACTCATTCTATAAGTTCTTTGGCCAAAATTAATCTGATTAATTCAAGGTCCATCCGAATTTAAGAAAATCAAAGGGTAAAGCTCAAAAGGTAAATGCAAATGGGCAGACCATTCCTTCCTCCATAGTGATTGCTACTTCATTAGCTTAGGTTGGCACTTATAATCAAGGACCAATTGATTTTCATTGGAAGCAGAAATTATTGTCTGCTCCTATTATTCCTGAGTTATATTCTACACCCCTAACAAATAGCTATAATTTCATGTTACATTCAAAATGACTTGCATCCATTGAGCTAGAAGACAGAAAGGGATACATTATTAAAAGAATAAACAAATCAGGAAAAATAAGAAAACAGATCAAATTCTCTTCTCACAAAAATAATGAGGATGAAGAAAATCTCGCCAAAACTTGGAGCAACCTTTCGAAGAAGAAAACTTTTCTCGCCAAGTATCTTGAACACCAACAAAGATCTCCTTCCCTTCTTGAGTTGATCAAGAGAGGGAAGGAACCCTCTTTGCTCCTCAATTACACACAACTCAGTCAGACGAATAGAGGCTATGAACTTTGAATGAGTTGTCTAATCCATCAATTCTCTCTAATTACTAAAAGATATTGAATTTCAACCGCCCCATCAGACTTTTTATAGGTTACGGGCATAGGAGAAGATAATGATTAAGGTCTTAGGTAATTACACTATCACCCACACCTTCTTTATACGATTGCTATAGAGTCGTTGGTGTCTAAGAAAGATGAATAGAATCATAGGATAACATTGCTCCTCCAAGTCAATCAATTATGAATGAAGCTTAACATGAAGAGAAATAATAATTTTATATATTCAAAGTTTTTTTGTTTTTTAATTTATCATTCATTAAAATGTGGGGGTATATAACTAGTTCATTATCTAACAAAGTTGCTTCTATTTAGCTTATATTTGAGAGTCAATGCATATAAATTTAACTCAATTTCAGAGCTTTTGGAAGATATACAACAAACATCTCATAACTACATCTGTGCTTGAAAACTATAAATAAATGCATCTCACGGGAACATAAAAATGGCATACTTTACTAATGAAGTTAAAGAGCCAATATCTTCTGGGATACAGGTTAGCGAGTTGAATGACACATCCAATGATTTTAGTAAGGAAAGCCTGAACAAAAACAATTTGATTAGATATCATAGAAAAATATAGCATGAAACATTACCTTGCTTTCTTTACTTTTTCAATTGGTAAGATGAGCTTACTCTCCTATGGCTGCTGGAAGGCTGGATAATTTATTGTGACTGATGTTCAGGATGGATAACATTGTTAAGTTTTTCACATCTTCTCGTAGTACTTCTAGCTCATTATGAGCCAAGATAAGCTTTTGCAACTCCACCCCCTGCAGAAACTTAAATAACATGAGTTTAACAACAAAAAAATGCAACAAAGGGTTTTTTAAGAGATTTTGTGTATGATGATGCTTTGTAGAATTGACACGTAGCACACCTCCCACCATTTTTCATCCTCGCCGACTACTTCCAAGTTTTTATAAACTTCATTAGGCACCTCCCTGCAACATTAAGTCCAAAAAGAAAAGGACTTCAACAATAACAACAATAATAACATCATCATCATCATCAAGCATTTATCCCATTACGTGAGGTCAATGAAATGTGTGAGATTACCATATTATAATAGTTTGTATCTGCAAGTTCAGATATGATTACAGAAACAATTTACTGATTGCTTGAGAGGCAAAAAAATGAAAGTAAATATAGAAAGACAAATCAAATTATACACTTTGGTAAATTCATAGGATCAGATAAAGGATGTTGATCAAAATATAAAAGAACATCATAAATTTGGCCGCACAAATTCTGTGTTGCTGCAGAAACAGTATGTAAAAACCTGTAATTAAAACCCTGCTTATTAAAGCAACCAGTCCAGCCCGAATTCTTTCTCTGTCGAATGTAAGCAAGCAAGATAGTGAGGGAGCAAGGGCGAAGGTGATAATATGAGGTGACCATGTGAAAATTGAGGCGAAGATTGACAATAATGGCTTCAAGGGTATAATACATTCAAGAAGAAATCTTTAAAAAGGTATCAAGAGTTTAACAAAGCCCTGATTAATGATATTCAATATAGAAGGCATTAAAAACTCATAGACAATTTGGATGGATTACGGAGAATAAATTAGAGGAATTATTAAAGATCGTTTATTACATATATTTGTTTTAGTTGGATGTATGTTGTGTCATGCTTTTTATGTTGACTGCTTTAAAGGTATGAATAATATAGATTTTTTTTAATCTAGGGTTTTATTGAGCTCCATGTGTTGTTGTGAGAAGATCAATGCATGATCTTAATGCTAGACTATTTGTGATCTTTATATGATAGGTTACTCTTTACCAAGTAAAGGATAAACATGTTATTCGTTGTTAGGGGCACATTCATAGCTATTTATTAGCATACCTTTAATGGTTGATAATATATTATGCATTGTGTCTTATTTATTATTAATATTTCAAATGAGCATTTTAACATAATGTAATACTTAGCTTTGCCTTGTTGCATGATCATTTTAATCTTGTCACATGGATTGTGCCTTATTTATTGATAATATTTCACGTGATCATTCTTTAATAATATTTCACATTTTGCACAAGATACAAGCAATTCATATACATTATTCCAATTGCAAAGAAATCCCTACTACATATACAAATCAAGGACGATATAAATAGGTAACAAGTTTTGATCATCAAAATGATAAGGTTTTTTTCTTATGGATCCTTTGATATAATATAAATTATATAATTATATGAATGTTAATATTAAACCCTTTTGTTGATGGCTAGTCAGACTGATGGGTTCTATGAGAAATCATTGGATTTCCATGAGATTGATGCCTACATTTCCTTGTTTCATAGTGTAATAGTAAACCGAATATAAATACACAAATATAAAGAAAAAACAATGATGAATGACTGATGAGTCCTTCATAGAACATAAATACATAATGCAATATGCATGCTAATAAATATTTTTACATTTGGACACAATAATCATTGATTTGTATAGATTATTATTTATGAACCCTATTATATAATAAACACTATTAAATGATTCTCATATTTAAAAATCTGATCTTTTATACACTATCTGTAGTTGTTATGGTATAATGCTCATTCATACTCAAGCCCCTTTCTTTGCTCATATTTATGTCCTATATATTTTTCATTTATGTTTTATTAAATTTGGTTTTTACCTATTGAGTTTGTTTCATGCAAACTCATACCTATTGCTTTATAATTTTCAGGTTATTAATTGTGCAACTTCTAAAGGAGTTTTTAGGCTCATGCATCAAGTTTATTTTTAAAAGGTATTTAAGTTTAGAGTTATTTTATTGATTTAATTTAATAGTTTAAATTATTTATATTTTGATAGATATTTAGTAGGTATTTTAGATTTAGTTGCTCTAATGAATTTTTTGGTGAAAAAAAATTATTGAAGTCATATGTTTTCACTTTTTAGAATTGCTTCTAACTTTTTAACGCATACCCACGCACCGGAATGCTATAATTTCCTTCCAAGGTCATTGGCGCAAGTCCAAGGAGCCGATAATAAGACTTTAAAAGTCCTCATTTTTTGGAATTTAGTCCATTCCCTTGATTCTTCTCTAGGAAAGTTCACCTATTTCCTAATTCCTCTCCCAATCAAACCTTTTATAATCCTTCCTTGGTCATAGGTAAAGAGAAAAGAACAAAGAACAAAAAGAGAAGTGTGGAAAAAAAGTGATACAGGTATTTCTTAACCAATGTGCAAATAAAAGAGAACCAATGGTGGAGGAAAATGCAGGTAAATCCTTTAGGCAACCTATGATGATCTTAATTCCCATTCATCATTCCTGTAGCACAGCCAGGAAAGCCACCATCACTATGGTTGCAGTTGATCCCCCATATGATACAACAGGAATGATGATGTTTCCCTCAGAAATCCAGCAATGCTTTGGCAATGCCACAGTTGGAACTATTTGGTTGGCTACAACTAGATCATGTTGTGGGCAATTTTTAATTTGCAAATGATTTTGAAGAGAATTAATATAGCACCTTTATGACAAATCTAAAATAATATAGTTACTTTACATCAAAACCTTTAACCTTAAATAGAATTTGGGCATATCTAAAGAGCTTGGATATCTAAATTGAAAAAATGAATAATAGTTGTTTTCATATATGTCACATTGGTAGCCAATAATAACACTTAAACTCTATAACAATGTAGCCATAACTAGTGAACACAACAAATTCCATGAATGCGTCGAATTAAATGCAGAAAAAAGAGAAAAGATCTTCTATTTACTGAAAACCCAAAAAAAAAGTTGAACATTGATCCCCCACCTTAAATTTCCTCCCCTCCACACTTTTTATTTCAGGGAATATTTTGGATTTTTCTTATTTTCTTCCTGAAAGGTTAATGAAAGGGAGTGTTGTACAGGGTATATAACAGAAGAACTTGTATTAACATAACTGAGAAGCGCAATCCTAGTTTCAAATCGTCATTAAGCTGGTAGATCTCATACATCTATAACCTAGAAGGCTACAACCAATGTATTTGATTAGGATCTGAAAAAAACCTATTTCAATAGGCATACAGTTTCTGCTTGGGCTGGGAACATACGAGCAAATGTTTTTGCAGTGTTGCTTCCAAATTGAAATATTCAGATTTTTATTCATCAATCACTGAGAGTTCTGCCATTTATCACGCTTTCCCCGATAATTTGCCCCGAAATCTGCAACTATAAAGTTGCTTGCCATCCTTCTACATCTGATTACGCGCCTAGAAAGTCTATAGAAATCTAGCGGATTTTCTCTTTCACTATCGCTTCACTAGCAAATTTTATCATTCTCACTAGCAGCATTCGAATAGAAAAGTCTTGCCCGCCCAAAAAAGTAACCCAAAGAATAATCAAGCTACAAACTTCCCCTAAGTTACCATTAATTAGAAAAGGAACATTTTTGAGACGGCGATCTAAATGGATCCATATGGAAGAACTGAAGAAGAAAAGAAGAGTAACCTAAGGGAACGATTAGAAAGATTGAGAGATCCGGAGGATCTTGCTTGCTTGAGGAGGCGATCCATGGCGGCTTCGATCTTGGTTTACCTCCCTGGAGGTTCAAAATCCATTTTGCTCGTTGCGCCGCGACGATTTGTTCACATTATCTTATTTTAAAATTGCCGGATTATTTAGGGGATGTTTGTTAAGTAAAAAAAAAAAAGTTATCCTCGTAAAAAAGCAGGAGATTTACATGTATATCATTTTATATTATTTTATTTATATATTTAATATTTAAAATTTTAATATTATATATAATTTATAATCCATTTATATATTAAATATAAGTGATATAAAGTGGCATATTTTATATTAAAATAATATATTTAATGGGAGGACTGTAGTGCTAAGTTTTTTATCATCATGATGATGGCATCAAATATTTTATAAATATCAAAATTCACTCAAAATTTCATTCTTTTGTTCTTTTTGCAAGTTACTCTATAAATATTCGAGAGAATTAAAGAATTAAATATACACAAAATATCTCAAAGCCTAGCTCCTAATCAACAGGCACATCTAGACTTATTTGAATTAGGCTTCATTTGGAGCGTCTTTCTTATTGCTTCTTAAAGCAATTTTTATTGCAATTTTTTTAATTTTTGTAATAGGAAGCTGCTATTAGAAGCATTAAAAAAGCTGTCCCAAACTAAACCTTAATCGGCAAGCTCCCCTATTAAGCGAATAACATCACCCAACAAGTCAACGACCTCGTATAGCATTTTAGTGACTCCGTCCACTAAAGCATTAACCCTTGACAGTTGACATCATCAGCTCATCAAGATTCAAGCCGAATCAGTGTGGCTGCCCACATGTTTATGGTCTACATGTAAATATTTCATATATATTATATATTTTTAGCTACATATTTTTGGCAGTATATGCATATTTTTAATATATTTTCCTGTAGTGCACAAGAACCTATAAATACAGGGTTAAATGGCTATTTTGAAGGACCTTAGGAGATATATTTATCTTATACATTTATGTTGGCTCTCTTATTCTTCTAGTCAATCTCTCTCTTTCTTCTCTTAGTTCTATTAAAATCTTAAAGTCCTACAATATGATTCAAGTATCGCATACGAAAAAAATATAGATCCAATAATTTGATAAATTTCTTATTCAAATTCATAATTTCTCGATAGGCACAATAATTAAGAATTAGAACAAAATTATATTGAAATATTTTGATATAAATTATATTATAATGTAATTAAAAATATAAAATTATTTTATGATTAATATAATATAAACTCTTTAGTTATAATACTAATCTTAAAATAAATTGAATAAATTTTAAATTTATTGTGTTATCAATTAAAGTAGGGTTTATTTATTCCCCTTAAAATTTTAATAGGGCTGAAGGCACAAGTTTGTGGATTTTTCATTTAAAAAAAAAAAGTAATTTTGACGCACGTGACCATTGAAGTCCACGTGCCGTCAACTAGAGCCGTTTCTTCCGGTAACCCTTCCCGGGCGCTCTTCCTTCAAAGCAAAGAGCATGAGCTCCGGCAAATCGAGGGAGGCTGACGAAAACGTGAAATTAGGTTTTTCGAAGCTTGGAGCTAGGGTTTTGGAAGGAAGGGGATAGTATTTAGCATCCCCATTTGGTAGCGGACGATGGGATTTCTGGACATATTCAAGAGTTACACGAAAAATCCGTTGAAGGATTCGCTCAAAGTCCTCGAAGCTGATATCTACCATGCAAACACGATGTGAGTAATTTCTTGAGCTTCATTTCTCTCCCTTTCGAAAAAGATAGAGATTCTTTCATGGTGATTGGGAGTTTTAAGAATGGAAAGAAAACGACTAGGTCTTTTCTTGAATGGGAGTTTAAAGAAAATTAAGAAAAAAAAGTTCTGAACTCTGTCGGATCTAATTTGAAGTTTAAATTTGACTTAATTAGATCTTAATTTGATTAAGGTTTTTGGGCCCAAAAAAGTTCAATTAACTTATACAGGATTAGCTGCATTGGTTTGGTTTGAAGCATGAAGGGGCTTGAAATGTGATTATGATTTTGTTTATGCTCGGCTCAAACTATCTCTTAATCTTTTTTGAACTTGAGTTAGCCGATGCTCAACTTGGTGACCACCAAGGGGGGAAGGGCAAATAGCACTCTTCTTGTTCACCTTAATTTTGGTACTCTATCTAGAGATGAGCTTAAGGATTACAATGGCGTAGAAGAAGCTGACTTGTTTCAATAAATGCCATTAAATTATCCTCTCACCCAGTGTAAATATTATTCTGTGAGATCACCAAACGGCGTTTAGAGGCGAATGATAATGTGCCATGTCATTTTTTTGTTATGTACCGTTGGATATCGGGTGATGTGGCGTGTTCTAATTTGCCTCTGGACCGCTCGGTGACGGCATAGAATAATTTCTCCACCCAGTGATACTTTTCCTTCTACGTACTCTCTCCATCATCTGCATTAAAGTAGGTTGCCCTTTTAAAAATTATTCTTGAAGTTCTTGTGGTTGCATGATCAGTATAGGAAAGACAGAAAAAAATGATATAGGTTCGTTTCGGTTGATTGGGAGTTTTACAGGGGATATAAAGAATTATTTCATTGCTTGTTTGGAAGTTAAAAGAAAACAAAAGAAAGCAAAAACAATAACAGCTTTTTTTTTAATAAAGTTGTCTTATTGCTTATGACACCACTGCACTTCTTCGGCATTACCATCCTTTCATGGTACTTGACCCTGAGGATTGCTTACTCTTGCTTTCCTTATTTTTTTTCTTCCTTTTTCTTCTCCTCAACCTATGATTCTCTCTCAGTTTTATTTTCTAATCTTCTTTTTTTTTCCCCTTTTTGATCTCTTTTGGCTAGCAATTGCTTCTTTCTTTTCTAATTTTTCTTCACACAACCACACATGCTTCACAACACCCGATTCCTTCCTCTCTTAATTTAGTCTCAGATGGCATTCTTGAAGTTTTTCCCTCATCAAGGTTGTCTCTCCCTCTGTTTATATAGCTATGACCATGATCAAGAAGAATGTTGCACTCTAGAGGCTTATCTATATATTTCCCGAGTTTGTTAAAATTTTTGTACTAAAATTCTGTTTTAAGAAGCAATAAAATAACTGTCACAAACGAAAACTTAATGTCTTCTAAGCTGCTTTACATTTTTTTAGTTCTGGACCTGCATAACTTCTTGTTGTTTTTGGTGATATGTTTGATTATTGTAATCTTATCCTGATTTATTTTCTTATTAATTACAATTTTGCCAAAAAAAAGTCTTTCTGAGGATTAATTATTCTATGCGGAAGCCGAACGCTGTCCAGAGACCAACAAGAATGCGCCACATTACCCCTTCACTTGGTACTACTCGGTATCGCTCGGTGCCGCTGACATGGCCGCACCTGATTCGACTTTGATCGCAGAATAATTTCTCCTTGCTTAGGGGAATACTTGCTGATTTATACAATACAAAATTTGTCCTCTTTTTGGGCTTAACTGGCATTATTTGTTAATTTCACTTTCCGTATGAAACATAACACACACACACAAAAAAATCGAATATGTTACTGCTTTTTTGGGTGCTGTGTTAATAATTTTACTTTGTCAATTGCTGAGAGATTTAGGGCATCAGAATCTCCATTCAATGGCACCTGCATGCAAATCCGTATATCTTACAGTCCGGCCGCCACATTCTTTCTTTTTTTAGCGCAGTGGACGGACTGTAGTCTTGCAGAGGCCCTAGGACTGCTGAGCATTTCCATATATAAGGTATGATTCATCTAATGTAGATCTAGATAAATGTTTTAGTTTTATGGTTCGCTTAAATATTCCTAAAATTTAATATGATTTTAGCGCCTAGCAAGCTATTTTCCTGCAGGTTTATCTTGATGGAACATCATCAATGTTTGCCAGTGAAAAGAAAGCAAGCATTAAGCAATTTTATTGTAAGTAGTTTCTCCTATTTTTCAAAAATATTCAATGCTAATCATCCATTGACCTGAAATTGACTCGTTTTTTATCCGAAAATCTATTTTTGACCGGGCAACCCGAGATTGACCTGTTTTTACCTGAAAAGCGGAGATTAACCCGTTTTTAGACACGAAAACTAGTAGTTTTTTGTTGGTACCGGGTCATTCGGTTCGGGTCGGGTTGATCCAGACCCGAAACGGGTTGTGTTCGGGTCCGAAAAATCGACCCGATTGCAAAAAAAGGGTCTGGTTCGGATTGACTTGAATAGTGCCGGGTCAGTTTCAGGTTCAACCCGAACCCGCCCCGTGACCCGAAATTGACACCCCTATATTTTTGCATTGAGGCAGAGCTCTATGATCCAGTCCGGTGCAGTGCATTCTCAACCTTTATTTTTCTTACCTTTATGTGTTAATGGCAGCTTTTATATTCCCTACTTTGATGCAATTACGAAGAAAAATCACTGGTATGGAGACTATGGAGGATCAAAATAAAAAAAAAATGTTTCTGGAAAGGTATATGAGGACAGATGATGATGACCAGATGCATTTATCTGTGAGTGACGCTGAAAGAGAGGAGGAATGTGGGATCTGCATGCTGCAGAATAGCAAGTTTGTGCTACCCACCTGCAACCATTGCTTGTGCTTGAGCTGTTTTAATGAATGGTATGTTCCCCAGCTACTTTGCAGATCTAAAGAATAAATTATTGGTTTATATTTTGTTTAGGGTTTTAAGCGTTGAAAGGAAGTGTTTTCTTACATCATCATCATAAATCACAAGTTTAGATTAAATGTTGAAGAGTGTGAATCAAATGGGATTTAAATTGAGATAAAAACACTGGTGGTTAAACCCAATTCCAAACCAAAGGCTTAAGTTGGTTGATAAGGGCCAACCATTTGGTAGTTTAGCACTAAAATATTTTTCAATAATTCCATTTGAGATAACTTAATACTCTCATATGTCTTAATAATCTTCCCCTCTTTACTTCGACCATTATTCTCTTCAAATGGAATGTAGAGTCAAATTCATGTCTTTATAATTTTCTTCTCACATCAGAGCTCTTTGATTCGACCATTATTCTCTCAAATGGAATATTGAGGCTTCGTTTTTAATGGCTTTTTTATTGCTTCTTAAAGCAGCTTTCTAGTAAAATGCTTTAAGAAGCAGTAAAAAACATCCCAAATGAAGCCTAAGTCAAATTCAAAGTTTTTCAGCGTCATCAAGTATCTCAAATGGAATGTTAAATCAAATGCAAGTTTTATATAAATCCGTCGGGGGTGGATCCGACCTCTATTTTGAGGGTGGGCAAAATAAGAATGTGAAAAGCATAATTTTATGTATGAAATAGAGAAGAGGAATTTTCTTTTAAGAATTTGAGCAACCGTAATTATTGAAGATGGGCAAAATAGTTAAAACACCTATTTTTCTAAGAAAAAACAAAGTTTCAGGTGGGTAATTGCCCACCCTGAGATCTTCTTGGTTCCACCACTGGATCCATGTGGTATGAGTCATCTACTTCTAAAACTATTTCAAACAAAGGATAGATCACAACAAAGTCCAACATAAGCCATAAATCATCACTAGATCCCAGTCAAATTATCAACTTTAATATAATAATTAAGGAATGTAAAATTATCAAAATTTAAGCCAAATACTCCAACTCATCTAAATGAAACAATTTAAACCTAAAAATGAAAGCCAATCATTTGAAATATATATATATTTTTATTCTTCTATTGTTTGTGTGTTTTAATGCCACCATTCAATACTTAACATTCATCAATTATGCCATTTAATTCATTCTTTTTTCTTTTCTGCTAATTTTCTTACCACTCTGTTAATTGAATTTCATCCCCTTTACTGTTAAGAAGGATTTTAATACATTTTTGACCGATTTGTTACTCATTTCATAGTAAAGCAAAATCAGAGTGGTGTCCTTTTTGCCGCAGTAGCCTCCTGGAAGTGGTAGCTGATGAACTGTGGGTCTTCATTGAGCGCAGAGACATAGCAGATTTGACCACTGTGTTTGAAGAAGATCATCGCCGCTTATCCATGTATTTAGACAGGCTTCCTCTCATCTCTTAAAACAATTCTTCTTTCTCTGTTTTCTCTGATTTTCTGCTTCTCAAAGCTGAGAAGTTCTCGTATGCTTAGTTGGAGGATCTTTTTGAATATTTAGGCCAATTAATGTTGATGAGAAGTTTGTTGAAGAATATGATGTTATTATGTATTATGTTCTTAAAATTTTAATGTATCTGGTGCGAAATCTTGCTAACATAGATAAAGAGAGAGAATATTGTGTAGATTTGAAGAATATAAAGATTTTTATGTGAAAAGTTAAAAGGATAAAAATTCAAATCTTGCTTAGTCTTAATAAATTTATTAATTTAATGAACTATACAAATGAGATTAGGGTTAAGTATGCAGCTTACTTTAATATGTTTGCTAGAGTTTTGACTATCAATCAAGAGGTCTTGAATTTTAATCTTGTATGTATTGTGTGTTAGTCTGTCTTAATTAGTCTAAATATTTCAAAAAATAAAAAACAAAAAAAGGCTAAGCCTCTAAAAACTTGCGCTCCGTTCTCGTAGTTAACCAATGAGATCTCCCTGATGAGTGCAGCCATTACTTAATAAATAGAGTTGGGCTTTGTTTGTTTGTGTTAAATTATTTTGAAATAAATAATTTTGTATTAAAAATTTATTTTTGAAAATAATAAATAAACTGTCCCAAATAAAACCTTAATTTGCAATAGAGTAGCTTTTTCCATTTCAAGGCTCCAGCCAGAGAGCTTTAGCCTTCAAGGCAAAAGGCTTTCACTTGCTTTCCTAAAACACTATGTAGCGTGTGCTTTAAACCAACCAATATATTTCGCTATCAGAGAGAAAGTTTCTCCTAATTTCTCTTAAAATGTTCTAATTTCTCTTAAAATGTTCATGTAAATAGTGAGATATTTATTATAAACTTTTCGTTCAAAAAATTTTGTATTAAAAAATTATTTCAAAAAATAATAAAAAAAGCATCCCAATAAAGCCTTTGTTCCTAAAAAAAAATCCAGCTTTACTGCAACAAAAGCACCAAAGAAATTCTCATATAAAGAAACCATCGCGTTAGCTTTATTCTAATTATTTTAAGTTGGCCTGGCAAATTATTGCGTCCGGTCACCTGACATATGGACATCCAATTCGGACACACCACCTCACCCGGATGCACTAGGTCTAGGTATTTTTGAGTGACGTGGCGCGTTTTTATTGGTGTCCGGACGAATCCGGACACCGGACACAATAATTTGCCGGCCTTATGAGACCATTATCTATATCCCAATCACCACTCCTCTCCCTCATTTCATTTCTTGGCCGGTGTTGCAGGCTAGAATATATGTGATGATAGAGTTATAATCCTATGTCTTAGCTTTGCACTGATATCCAGCTCACACACAGAGAACACATGATTTTTTATGTGGAAAACCCTGGAAAGGGGAAAAACCACGGGGTCTGACCTATTTGAAAATGATTTCATTAGAATTCTAGGAGATTACAATGGGTTTACTTGTTCCTTAAGACAATCATATTACAAATGTCAACCGTATGGTTGAAATCTAGTGACAAACGGGAATGAATGTCTGGCGTCACTTGGTGGAAGTCTGGCGTTACTGGGAAATTCGGTCGTTAGTAGTTAATCCGATGGAAGTTTAGTAGAACTTTGGCATCGGGCAGTGATTCTATAGAACTCTGGCATCGGGTAAAGGTCCGATAGAACTCCGACGTCGAGTGGTGATCTAACAGAACTTCGGGAGTCAGTTGGCGGTCCGGCGAAACTCTAAACGTTAAGTGGTGGTTCGACTGAACTCCAGGCGTCAGGCAGTGGTCCGGCGAAACTCCGAGCATTGGGTGGTGGTCTGGCAGAAGTCCAGGTGTCAAACGGTGGTCCGAAGAAACTCCGCGTGTCAAGTGATGGCCCGGCTAAAGTCCGAGCATCAGGTGGTGGTCCGACCAAAGTTCAGGTGTCATGTGGTGGTCCGGCGGAACTTCAGCCGTCAAGTGGTGCTCCGGTAAAACTATAGGCATCTAGTGGTAGTTCGGTGGAACTCCGGGAGTTAGGTGGTGGTCTGGCGAAAGTCCAAGCGTCAGGTGGTAGTCTGATGAAACTCTGGGCAGTAGTCAGGTGGTGGTCCGACGGAACTTTAGATGGTGGTCAATGAGGCAAGAGCAATCTTTGATGTCTCTCTTGTTTTCTTAGGCTTAGGGGTCCCTTTTCAAGGAGGGGTCTATTTATAGATTTTCTAGAGTGGCATGGCCCGTAAATAGGAGGAAGATCAAGGGTCAATGGGGAGTGGTTTAGATGAACGGTCGATATTAAATCACTTGATTATGGATCGTTCGTTATACATTTGAAGGTCTTAAATATGTTGGAATTTCGTGATCTTGGGCTTGTTGGATTTGGCTCGGATTTGTGTCGAATGTGGTGTCGTTGGTTTCATATTTTCGAGACATTCAGTTTGACTGTAAGTTTGCTGAAATCGGAGTTCGAATGGACCCAATTTTAATTTTGGAAGTTTCCAACTTGATTTTTCCTCAAGATTCGTGCTCGAACATTAAATTTTGTTTATGATGTATCAGCTAGGAAGAAAGAGGAAGAAAGAAAGGAGGAGGGGGGGGGGAAGATGATAGAAGATGAAAATTCTAGGCCTTTTTGTCAGTTGGCACTTTTACTAAATTTGTTCTATTCATTATAAGTCATTATACTCTTGCTCTTATTTTCGACGATTTTAATTTCTAAGGATTTTATCTCTCATAAATCTATTAAAAATATGTTTACTCCTAATTTATTAAGCTTTTATTGTATATATAATTTTTTTATATGATAGATATGATTCTCACGATTATTTTGACTGTATATTATAGAAATTTACTAGATAATTTGATAGTTATGATTTTATGAAGTTAATGCACAGTATATAGATTTCTTTGCATTTCATAAATTATTTCATTTTATACAGGATATTAACTTACATTGAGAAAATGATATGACTGATTTAAGATAAATGTGACTTTTAAATGTAAGCAAAAAAAAAAAAAATCTTAACATATAATTAATAAATGTTGACTCTTAAAATATAATACAGGAGGGTGGGCCAATGAATTTTGTGTAAAATAAAATGTTTGTAGTGTAATCTTGAATATTAACATGTAATCGATTAACTGAATTATGTCGACGGATTAAGGGTGACGACTTTTAATGATTTACTGAAAGTCACTTATGAATTGACTTAAGATAATAAAAAATGGTAGCAAGATAAAGATTGATGATCAATTGATCGATAATTGGGGTTAAATTAAAGACTGATGATCAACCAGTCGACAGTTGAGGTAAAATTAAAGACTTATGACCAACTGGTCCACAATTGGGGAAGAATGTTAAAACACCACATTAAAAATGTATGTCATGTCTTATTATTCATAATTGAATTCATGATTGCATTTACATGATAGTATATGAATTGATTGATAAATTGAACTGAAGTCGTATTGATATATAATGCATTGATGATGATACAACATGATATGAACATTGATAGATATAGATTAGCAAATTGATGGAGTACACATATAAGTACACTAACATAACATATTGACGTAACATATTGTTTGATAGTTCATTTTACTAACTTTTCTTATATAATTTGATACATCTCTTTTGTCTTTATTGATCATATTGGCTTTTTTATTGTTTGATATTGATTTTAAACATTGCTTATGGCTCATTCTAATAGGTTATTAATGATTGATATATATTATTTGGAACTAGAGCATGCATATTATTGTTTTGCCTTGCATTGAATACAATAGTTATTTCCTGGGCTATGTACTCATTGCATAGTTTTTATATGAGTTTAAGTAAAGGTAATAAGCCTGCAAAGTGAAGTTAGACAATGAAGATAGTTTAATTTTATTTTAAACTCTTTGGTTATATATAATCTTTTATAACATGTTACGAGTATTATATATGTTATTTTGGACTTTAGACTTTAATCAGAATATAAATATTGATCACAGTAACATAATTATGTTTTCTATTATTTGTTTGTTTTTTTCTAAATGTAATTAAATAGATATGATTGTTACAAACAACAATAACAAGCCTTTATCATATTAAGTGGGTTTAATTACATTATTCTTTTTTCTCCCTTTTGTCATGTTAAAAGTCAAATTGAAAAAGATAATAAAAAAAGATAAATGAACTTCTTCCATTTTAAATTTTAAGACGTCACAATCACAGCCACTGGTCCATCAATATCCTTCTGACTTTTGTTCCCACCAATTAGTTCTATGACTTCCATCGGCAACCGACTTCGATTGTATATATATAACCACTTGATAACCATTGATATTAGCATGCCACCATTCAACATATCAAAAGGCTCTTTAATATCAAGTGGTTGTCTTGTGGGGAGGATGACTTAAAGTTTCTTTACTACAGAACAAAGCTAGGCAAAACATCAATTTGATTAAATCTATCACCACAACAGAGGGTGTTTTCACTCATTCCACTGATATTAGCAATGCTACCTTCAACATTTCAAAATGCTCTTTAATACTCCCTATTTGCCTCTGACAATTGGACTGCTCTAGTTGGCAGCATGATCTATTCCCACCTTATTCCTAATTTAATTGCTCCTGTCATTGTGGAAGAAATTAAGGATATTGTCTTCTCTTATCCCTATTATTCAGCCCCTGGGCCTAATAGCTACACTTTTGAGTTTTACAAATCAACTTGGAATACGATTGTCAAGCAACTTTAAGAGGCAATTTTTTTTCCTTTTTCTCATCCTACTCTTTGCAAAAGTAAGTGAAGGATACATCTATTGCATTGATTCCTAAACATCCTCATGCTGCCAATATATCTAACAACAGACTGATATCCCTTTGCAACACCTTCTACAAAACTATTGCTAAGATCTTGGCCACTAGGATGCAAGAGGTCATGCCTTCTATTATTCACCCAAGCCAATTAGGTTTTATCAAAAATAGAATAATTTTGGATAACATCCTTTTGGTGGTTGAATTGTTTGGGGAATTTAACATGAATGCCAGAAACAAGTAATTGTGTGCAAAATTTAACATTCATAAGGCATCTGACACCATTTCTAGGGAATTCTTGCTCAATCATCTTCTTGCCAAAGGATTTCCTACAACTTTCATATCATGGATCAAAGAATGCATCACTGATATCCATTTCTCCATTTCTATTAATGGTGCTCTAGAAGGTTACCTCAACTCCTCATCTGGTCTCAAACAAGGCTATCCTCTCTCCCCTTACCTTTTTAGCATCGTCATGGATGGTCTATCTTCTTGCTTTTAGGAAGCTACCTCTAAAAACTCCTAAGGAATCAATGGGTAATGTAACTATATCTCACATTGTCAATGCTGATGATTACTCTTGTTTGGTAAGGCATCATTAGAGAATGCCTATACTCTCAAGGATTTGCTCTCCCGCTTGTTGTTATCTCGGGCTTGCATGTTAACAGTGAAAAAGAGAACTATTTTTTTTTTTTCTAGGAATGTGTTGGAAGAGCATTTCATCACCAGCACCCTAAATATTCATATATTCAACTCTCCTATCAAATATCTTAGTATTCCCATCTTCAATAGGAGACTCAGATCATCTAATTTTCATCCATTAATGAAGAAAATTCACTGTTACTTGGATGGTTGGAAAGCTAAAACCCTCCCTTTAGCTAGGAGAATGCAATTCCTTAAGTTCACTACTTGCAATTTCCTAGTTCATTGGATTAGAGGTGTCATTATACCAAAATCTTGTAGAAAGATAATTAATAGAATATGCTCTAGATTATTGTATTATGTTGATATTTCTAAAAGAAAGATGCATATGATCTATTGGAAGGAAACATGTAAATCAAAACAATTTGGAGGGCTTGGTATCCCGACCATCGATTCTCTCTACCATGCTTTTGGTTGTTCATTAATTTGGAGGTATTTAAATGCTGAGACCTTTCTTTTTCTTTGGTGGAAAGCTAAATCTATTTCATTTTGGAACTCTAGCATCAAGCATGGATCTGTTTATTAGAACTTTCTCTGTGGTGTGGCTAAGAAAATCCAACTCTATCTAATTTTCAAAATCATCTGCAACAACACTCTTTCCCTGCTTTGAGATCCTTGGTGCTTTAGCAATTTTGTTGTGGATAGGTTAGGGATGAGCAGCCGGAAAGCTCTCTCTTAAATTTCTATCATTTCCTTATGAGCAGCTTACTTTTAAATGGTAAATGGTCCCTCCCTCCTAATCTCCCTGCACCTCTCATATGTATTATCTCATATGTTCTTATCTTTAATATGGCATTGGCTTAATTCTGTTAAGCCTAGCTTTAACACCTTCAAAATGCAATTATACTATGAATCGTCTACTGTGAATTGGCACAAATTTGTGTGGCATAAACGTTACACATTGTGTTTCTCGTTTTATACTTGGTTGGCTTTCAAACATGGGCTGAAAATTACGGATGCATTGATCTTGAGGGGAATTCCAGCTTTTCCTTCTTGTGCTTTCTGCTTTAATGCTTTGAAAAATAGGGCACACCTTTTTTTTTTTTTAATGCGGCTATAATTTTGCTATTCTTAAGAACCTTATTCCTCAAATGGACAGTATGCATTTACATCCCAACCTTTTGCAAGCTTTTAGTTGTATTGAAGATTGGGATATTCATAAGGACTGGAGAAGCTTCTACTTCTTTTTGCTATGTGTTGCCCCTTTTACTAATTTTGGAGAGCTAAGAATGACATATTATTTGGCAACTCTTTTGACTATCATGCTACCACTGCTGTCAAAATCAGAAGAGTTGTCTCTTATAAATTCTACAAATGGAAAAACTATCAACTTTTTCAATGTCTGCTTCTCTGATCTTATCGGATGGTTGTGCTATATCTCTCAATCCTACTTTTGCTTATGGATTTTGGCAGGCTGGAGGCTTAATTTGTGATCTCTAGATGATTTTTAGCTCGCTAAATGGTCTTTCTTGACAACCAGGTATCGGATTTGAAGGACGATGATGAATGCAAGTTTATCTTTGCTTCCCCTTGGACAGTCGGCTCTGGCATCCAGGATCTTTTGCCCATCTCTTTAGATAATTTTGCTGCTGGGTGATCTCGACATGCTATGCATCGCAAGTCCTTTATTCCTTTTGTACATTCTATTCTTTTTAGCTTCTGGTTTTGTATTTTCTCTTTTTCAGCAGCACTTGATGTATGTTTCTTTCATTTGCTGCACATTTTTGTTGTGTCTGCATATGGCTTCGGCCCCAAACTTCCCCTGAAAAAAATTGTACATATATACATATAACATTATTGAATTTGCTGTCTACTCCAAAATATTTCTTCCTTTGGAATAATATCATATATAATTTAAGTTGGTCACCTGTCTCTATTCAGCTTTAATGATGATTGTTCAGTGCATCTTGTGAAGAGTTGCGCGGTGCTGATTATAGGAGCGTTTAATGCCAATAGCTGCTTAATTTCAGGCACATGGTTTTAAAGTCACCGACATAAGGATATACAAACTCAAAAACCTCTTTTTTATTTTTTTTAATTTAGTTTATAGGTCGTCTAAGGATCGCTTAGACAAACCATTTGGTTAGGTAAAAGTTCAAAATCATTTTTTTTTCTGCTTGACGAGTCATCCTTTGATCAACTTAAAAGAAAAACTTACATTAAGATCTTTTGATCATCTTCATTAATCATAAGAAGCCCAACAGCTCCAACAATAACAAAAATCGCTTACAGAAATTGCTTTTGCACAACTTTTATTCAGCACACTAAAACAGTTCCTTGAAGGAACTACTTGATTACTTTCCTAGCAATCACTATACAAGTATCTATACAAGTAATCATATTATACTATAAGCCAAATAAGTATGCCGAGGTGGAGGAAGAAGATGAAAGCTCAAAACTTACATGGCTTCTTGCTCTCTAGAAGAACACCAGACACAGAAGAGCGCAGCAGAAGAGGAAAAGCCATAGCTGATGCAGCCAGCTCTCCACCATCAACTCCTGCCTCCACCTCCAATTCCTCCCACTCATGGCCGGCGACTGGTTAAAGCTTGCATAGAGATTTTGATGGTTCCTGAATGCCCATGGAAGCAGAGAGAAAGCAATCTCCCCGAGCAGGGCCCCAGCAGTGGAGTGCATGACTCCCAGGTGATTCACACGATCACTTCCGTAAAAGTGAGGGTTTTGATACATATGAACATCCTGCCTCGGTGCGAGGGGTGGCTGGTGGCCGGCGGATATGGCCGGAGAAGCCAAGTTCCGGTGTTCTCGAGGTCGTTCAGGGATGCCGCTGTCATCACGGGGGTGAGGTTTGGAGTTGAGGCCGCGGCCATAGAGTGGAACGAGGGAGGATTCCGAGAGGGATGATTTGCAGACTGGGCAATGCCGAGGGGAAGAATCGAGATGGAGCCAGCGAAAAATACAAGGCCAGCAATAGAGGTGGCCGCAGAGGGTGACAACTGGATCCGCAGCGAAATCGAGGCAGATATTGCAATCAAAGCAGGCGGTAGGGGCGCAGGAAGGGATTTTCTTGGACGATAGATTGAACTCCGGCGAGGGTTCCATGATGAAATCCTGGAAGTAGCCGTTCAAAGTCCTTTCCGAGTCCATATTACTGTAGAAAAGGGGAAAGTTCTGTCGTATAAAGAATTTAATAAATCGTCAAATCTAGAAATTGTTCGGCTAGTCTGCTTTAAAATCTGAAGAAATTTTGATTGTTTGGATTTACGTTAGAAAATTTAGAAATTTAGCAGCGTGGAAAATTAAACCGCTATAGACATTGCAGTAGACAAAAATTTCATGGCAGGAAAAAAAAAGAATGGAAGGAAATAAAAACCAACAAGATTGCCGTACGATATAAGAGGAAATCCGAATGCATTAAGCAGGATTTACCTGATTGTAATACCACCAGGTAAAAAGACCAAGAACTCTAGTTCCTTCTTTCGATCGGCTTTTTATCAAAAGAAGAAATCTAGAGGAATCAAATGTAAAATTTCAATCAATGAAAAATTGGAAAACTAATCTACAAGATCGAATTAGGGTTTCACTTATTTGTCCCTTCCCGAACTCCAAAACAACCAAAATTTCTTCAATCCCTAACAAACGCAACCAGATCCGATCGACAAAAACGTCCGGAAAACAATCAATTAAAGAGCTAAATGTCCCGTAAAAGTCCAAATTGAGAAGCTTCGTGGATACCTAACGATCACTGCCTCTTGCGATCTCCCAAAAAGGCTAAGGGCTAGAGATGCTGACTTCTCCGGCTGCGGCTGCTAAGGCGGCGAGGTGAAAGAGACAATAATGGAGCGACGCTATCGAGGGAGCTTCGAAGCGTATTTAAAGGCGAGGCACGGAAGCTTTCCGCGGCTTTCCTCGTACGTGTTTTAGCCACGTGTAAATCTCAACAGGGTTTCCGGCCGAAGCTCCATCAGAGCCGTCCGATCCAGCGGCCAGCCATATGTACACCGTGCCTATCCGCAGCCTTATCCTCATTTTTTACCCCTTTTTTTTCTTATATATTGCCATATATTTTTAAATAAGTTCAATATAAGTTATTTAAATATTATATTTATTTTAAAACTACTAAATCAAGTCAAAGATGGCATAATATTTCTAAAATATAAATTAAATATATTAAATATTATTATTTATTAAGATATATTTTTCCCAAAAATTATGATATATTTTAATTATATTAAATTTTGGTCAGCAACAATCAGTCATAATGTTGGTTGTGAGTCTTTCATATGTTTTAAATATGTTAGACAAATGCTTCATATCAAACATTAAAAATATTTTAATTTTTTACATTTATTTTATTTGCACTCATAATTCTTTCAACTAGAGTCTTAACAATTTAAAAATTATAATTTTATTAATTATTTATTTTTAAAAACTTTTTTTGTTTCAATTTATATAATGAAAAAAGAAGATGCTAATTTAATTTGAGAAGATTAAATTGATAAGGAAATGTTATAAATTATGATTAAAATTAAAATATTTGAATATAGAAATTATATTTAGTTAAAAATTAGTCAAATTTACTATTGAATTTTACAATATTTAACAAATAATTCTAAACTATTAATAATTTAAAGTAGATCAATAAATTAAGTTATATTTTATATTATTCAATTCACAATAAGTTTTGATAAGTCACCAAAAATTGATTCGATCGAGCACGAATCTCGAGGCATATTTAAGTTGGAAATTTATAAAATCAAATTCGGGGTCATATGAATTTCAATTTCAATAAACTTATAATCGAATTAAATGTCTCAAAAATATGAAGCCAACAACACCAAAATCAGTCCAACCCGAGCCCAAATGGGTCCAAATCAAGGGTCTGAACCACATTTGGAAGGATCAAAGCATTATTTGGATGACAAAATGATATTCAAATATGACATGTTTATAGTCAAATCGAGCGGCTCGGCGAGACGAACCCAACGAGCCAAAGATCGCTGAATTCCGACATTGTTAAAGCACTAAAACAGATGAAAAACTCTCTATGATCGAAGAATAAATATGGGTCATCTGATAGAGCACTCCGAACCTGTCCCAGATCTTCTTTATATGTAAGGGGTGTGCCACTCGTGCAATTTTATAAATAGACCATCACTCTCTACATGAGGGGGGCCTGGGGGGCTAGAGATTGGAGAAAGCTATAAGGTTTCAAGAGATCCAGCACCACCGCGGCGAACCCCCATCGACTGTCGTCGGACCATCGCTCGGCCGTCGATCACCGTCAAACTTACGCCCGACTGCCGCCAGAATTCAACCCGACCATCGTCAGACCACCGCCAGAAGACCGACCATCGTCGGACCATCACTCGGAGGCCGACTGCCGTCAGACTACAGCCCAACCGTCATCGAACCACCACCCGAAGGTCGACAGCCGCCGGACTTTAGCCTGACTATCGTCAGACCACCACCAAGTCGCCGACCGCCGCCATACTTCATCCTGATCATCGTCGGACCACCGCTATCTTGCTGACCATCACTGGACTTCCACCCGGCTGCCGATCGTCGCCGGATTTCTACCCGACTCCAGAATTCTTCCTGTCCTTAGACTTCCGCCCGTCACTGAACTTCCACTCATCACTAGACTACGGTCCCTCCGTCGCCCACCGACTATGGTCCTTCCAACCTCCTCAGCCAAGTATGGTCCTTCTAACCTCCTCCACCGATTACGGTCCCTTCAACCACTATCACAAGACTATGGTCTTTCCGACCTATGTCGCCCGCTAAGTACGGTACTTCCGACCTCCTTCGCTGACTATGGTCCCTCCAACCACTGTCACCAGACTATGGTCCCTCCAACCTCTATCGCTCACTGATTAAGGTTCTTCTGACCTCCTCCACAGAGTACGGTCCTTCCAACCTCCTCCACCTACTACGGTATCTCCGACCACCGTCTCTAGACTACGGTCTTTCCAACCTCCTTCGCCCATCGACTACGATCCTTCCAACCTCCATCTCACACAGACTACGTTCCTTCTGACCTTCGTTGTCAGACAACAGTCTTTCTAACCTCCATCGCAAGACACTAGTTTTTTCGACCTTTGTCACCCACCGATTATGGTCATTCTGACCAAACGAACATTTCAATATTAATTCTTCCAATTCCCACAATGTAATATGATGTACATTATCTACATCAACCCAAGGCCTTCCCCCAAGGAAGGGCCTCATTTATAATCGACTGCAAATAATAGTGAATTAATTCAAACTGGGCCATGCCCCGTTGTTTTTTTTTTCTCCTTTTAAGGATTTTCATGTAAAAACTCTTGTGCCTCTTATGAACGCTACTCCCTCTCTTTTATCTGTTTGTGTGCTGAATTTTTGTATAAATCTAAGACATTAAATTTTATATTTCTCTACCACCGCGAATATTTCAGGACGCAACAAGTTTTATGCTTAATCACTTACTTGCTTATTGCTTTGGATCTTTAGTTAATTTATGTGATGTCTCTTAATCAAACTGATTACAAATGTATCATATCTCTAATATTTATACATTTAGACTTTGTTTGGGACGACTTTTTTACTGTTTCTTAAAGTTGTTTTCTAGTGTAAAACTTTTAATTTTTTGTACTAGAATGCTACTTAAGAAGCAATAAAAAAACCGCCTCAAATGAAACTTTGGATGTCATATTTTATAATTTATTATTATGTTGATTGATATTTCATTTAGAGTTAACAAAATTTTAGTGTGTGCATTTTAATTGTTGTATTCTGAAAGGAGTTCAAAGCGTCTCATTACGCACTCAATTCACTCACTGCTAAGCTTCATTTTGGGCAGCTTTCTAGTACAAAAATTTTAGTTCAAAAAAATTTTGTGCTAAAAAACTACTTTAGAAAATAGTAAAAAAATTATCCCAAATGAAATCTTAGTTTTAGATTAGATAATAACTTTCTATTAAATATTTAAAAATAAACATCTAATACTTTATTTGGGACGGCTTTCTTATTGCTTCTTAAAGCAGCTTCCTAGTACAAAAAATTAGGAAGTTGTTTTAAGAAGCAGAAAGAAAGCCGTCCCAAACAAAGCCTAAGAGTAGCTTCTTACCACTATTTTGAACATTAAAAGGTGATTGTTGACCTCGATTTTGGCTCGAGCGTGCTCGAACTTGTTTGATTGATTTAATTGAACCCCGTCGAGCCCAATTCGAGCTCGAATCGACCCGACTCGAGCCGGATCAGACTCGAATGCGTTCAATTAGACTTGATCAGTTCTCTTTAGTCGTGTTGCGTTTAATTTGTTTTGAATTGATATTTATTTTGAATTTAATTTCGTACGATTAATTTCGTCGCGCCGGCTCGAACCAAATTCGACTTGAATTGAGCCAAATTTAGACTCGAGCTTAACCCGATCTTAGCCAATTTTAATTTGATCCAACCCGATTCGACTCGATTAAGAGCCATTTGACTTTCTTAATATTTTGAATTTATGTCCTAGATCAGGAAATCACCTCAACGGCTGTGATTGCAGGAGATCTTCGTCGCAGCCTAAATCCCGCTTCGCAGGCGATTCTTCGCGACGGGAGCAGGCATCGAGCAGATACGAAAGCTGTCTATGGAAATTTCGAGGCTGGAGCGCGACGACGAAAAAGAGGCGGGCTTCCTCTTGCGGCAACGAACTCAACTTACTCATAGCGAGGGCTCCGAGCTCGGGAAGGACACGCATTCTCCTTCTCCTTCTCGGTTTTGGCTCTTGTTCTGAGAAATCCGAAATCCCCTCCCTCTCCGTCTCTTTTGTTCGCAGACGACCGACTCCCCTCTCCCTCTCTGTCACTCCCGGTCAGCACCAACACGAGGAGCCAAAGAGCCCGATCTCCCTCTCCCTTCTCTGTTCACGAGGTTAAGCCGAACCCCGTGCTTACCTGAGCTCCCTGCTCTCGTCGCCTGGGCTGACGTCGAGCCGGACAGCCGAACCCGAGCCTCCTGCTCTGTCCGACGGCAGCTCCACCGAACCCAGCGGCCACCCGACCCTCCCGGCTTTGCACGATCCCGAACTGACCCCGTCGCCGAGCCGCTCAGACCAACCCAAATCTCTCCTTCGGATCGATCCCGACGATTGGACAGATCTTGAACTTTTGCAAGGTGAGTATTTCCCCTTCTTCTCCTCATTCTCTTGGTTATTTCATCTCCTCCATCCCTTCTTGGCCTTTGCAAAACAAGAAAATCTGAGAACCAATGTTGGTTAGATTTTATTTTTGCCTCATATTTGTGTCTTGTTGAAATGGCTCATGCATAAATCTTGAGTGGTCTTGTGAGGTTTTGGAGTGTATATGTCATTACACCCCTAGCCTTATTGATTTACATGTATTTGTAGTCATCCTTTAAGATAGATCTCATGATATTTGGGATAGTTGATTTTGAAAATCATGTTCTTTTCTTTTCCTTTTTTTTCTCTAGTTTGTTGATCTATCTTATTTTGGAATAGCAAGTTGGTGTGTAGACTTATATTTACTTCATGCTATGTGATTTAGAACTTAGGTGTGAGCTACAAAAATACATAGGAGGTCCCTTTTGATTTCCCACCATAACATGCACATGAGGTATTTGTAAAAATGCCTATTGAAGGTAATTCAAGGGTTCGCTCAATAGAAGTGGCAAGCTTGTGTAGTGTTGCTTTGTTCAAGCATCCTAAGTTTATTTGAGTTTGTTGCCTCTACATGGAGTCTTCA